AGTTCTGCACAAAGGGATGGTCGAGGGACATGTTCCTGCAAAAGCAACAAACCAAAGGTGGAGCCAAGAAAAACTTGTTAGGACCAACAACATGGGTTCATCACTTCCCCCACACTTAAGGACCACCTAGGCCAACAGTTCTAAGCACAGCCGGTTGAATCGCAAGCGACTCAGCCAGAATCAAGGCAAGAAACACAGAACCAACCACAATAAGCACACGGGCAGCACATACGCCATATATAGAACCATGCATACTCAAAGCATCCCTCACCCTATTCTAACTCAAGCATGCAAATACAGTTCTCGGTCCTACAATCTACAGTTCGATTTTTCAGGTAAGAACAGTTAACAAGAAACACACCTGGAAACGCAAGGAGAACTGTAGCTAAGGCACAAAAACCGGGTGAGGGACGCGAGACGGAGGCCAAAAATGACTCGGGAGGCTCGCCGGAAAATGGCCGGAAATGGCCGGAAAGTCGCCGGGAAGTCGCCGGAAAACGACCGGCGGCGGAGGGGGCGGCGGCCGGCGGCTTTTAGAAGAGAGAGGGGAGAAGTTTTGAGAGGAAGGGAGAGGGGAAATTTTTGAAAAATGAGGGTAGAGAGAGAAACTGACCGGGGGTTTTGCTATAAATAGCAAAAATCCCCGGTCGAGCTCAAAAATACCCGGTCGGGTATTTTTGATTCCACGACCGGGGGTTCAAAACACAGCGTTCCAAGAGCAAGGGAATCCCCGGCCTTGAGCCAAAAATACTCGGCCCGGTATTTTTCGGTCAAGGTCGGGGGTTCTGGAAACACAGCGTCCTGACGGGGAAAAATCCCCGGTCGTGAACCAAAAATACCCGGTCGGGTATTTTTGGGACCAGGTCGGGGGTTTTCCCTTTTCACCCCGAGAAACAGAGGGGGTCCCGGCGGTGAACCAAAAAATACCCGGTCGGGTATTTTGGCCCACGACCGGGTATTTTCCCCTTCCGGCGAAAAAACTCAATCGCTCCAATTTTCGACCTCTCCTGCACGACAGCACCAAATCGAGGCATAACAGACGACCGAACTTCACCACAGACATGCAACTGACTCAAGACGACACAAAATCTCAGAAAAAAAGGGAAAAAGAAATGCAAACCGTGGTGGGGTTGCCTCCCCACAAGCGCTTCTTTACCGTATTTTAGCTGGACGCCCATGGTGGATACTCACGGAGGTGCAGGAACAGGTGCCTCCAAGAGCGGATCCACGTCGCTCTTGAGGTACAGCTTCAGGTTGTGGCCATGCACCCGACGGGTGCGACCACCAGCATTGGTCAGCTCGACCTGGCCATCCGGCAAGATGCAGGCGAGTGAGTACTCGGATGGCCAGGGTGGTCGTGGTGCAGGAGGTGGAACCAGCTCGTAGTGCTCTCCACCCTTCTTCCGTGCAGGCTTAGCAACCTGCTGCTTCGGCCGCCACTCCTCCTTGATCTTTTTGTTCGGAGGCGAGACTGGATGGAATGGCGGCGAAGGAATGATAGGAGGCTCCTGCAAAATGAGAGGTGCAGAAGGATACACGATAGACTCGTGTACCTGATCAGAAATGGCATGCACAGGTGTGACATCAATCATAGCACAGTGATCGAAGTCAGTCACAGAAAAAGTAGCCTGTTTATTCCCAGCACGCAGGATCAGTTTACCATCATGCACATAATAAGTGCCTTGGCGGTGGCAAGAAATGGTCTACCTAGAATCAAAGGCACATCCACATCCTCATGTATATCAAGAATAACAAAATCAACAGGATATGTGAATGCACCGACATTGACAAGCAGAATGCTCATCCTAGTAGGGCTAAGTTCACCTAGGTCTAGCTTTTTATACAACTTATATGGCATGACATTTATGCTAGCGCCTAGGTCCGCCAAGGACTTGCCTACATGCATGCTGCCAATAGTAAGAGGGATAGTAAAACTCCCTGGGTCCTTGCGCTTTTCGGGAAGCTTGTTCTGCAGGATAGCAGAACACTCATCGCTGAGCATCACTATCGAAAGATCCCCAAGTTTCTTCTTGTTGCTGAGGAGGTCTTTCATGAACTTGGCATACTTGGGCATCTTCGATAGTGCCTCCACGAACGGTATGCTGATGTTGAGCTGCTTCAACATGGCCATAAACTTGGCAAACTCAGTCTCCAGCTTGTCTTTGTGTAGACGAGTGGGGAAGGGAAGCTGGGGTACATGCTCCTTAACCACTGGTTGTGGCTTGGGAGCAGGGGCTTCCTTCTCCACCCGCACTTCTGCATCGTCGGCTGGAAGTGCTGAAATAGGTAGTGGTTCCTCCTGCCTGGTCGGGGCAGGATCAGCAGATATGGTCTTACTGCTCCTGGTAAAAATGGCATCCACCTGCTGGGGCGGTTCCCGTGGATTGGGGATGGTAGTGGCAGGTAGAGTGCCCGGTGCCCTGGTGTTGTTCTGGCGGGCTATTCCTCCAATCTGATGTTGGAGGTCCTGCAGTATAGTACCTTGGTTCCTCTGACTTGCCTCCAGCGAGGCGATGCTCTGGTCTATTCTGGCGGAATTCGCCTGGCTGGTAGTCATGAATGCTGCTAAAATATTTTTCAGCTCCGACATCAGGTTATTTGGAGCTGGGGCTTCTGCTGGCTCGGCATACCGACGCTGGGGCTGCTGGAATGGTTGCCCCTGCCTAGGCTGGTAGGGCTGCTGCTGTGGGGCTGGTCCCTATCGAGCCTGGAAGGGCTGTCTCTGCTGAAAGCCACCAGCTGGTGCTGGGAAACCAGGTGGTTTAGTGGTGTTGCTGCTCCAAGCGAAGTTGGGATGCTGGCGCCACCCCTCATTATATGTATTACTATACGGGTCGAGGCGCCGAGCATTGGCGATGAAGTCCAACTGCTCCTGGGGAGTAGTAGACTCCCTCATAGCCTGGCAATCTTCCACTAGGTGATTTGAGCTCTCACACCACTGACATTGAGCTACTGGAGGTGTAGCTAAACCTCTGCCCGGAATCAGACTGTTGGGCTGCTTCAATGTCTGCACTAACTTAGCTACCTGCTGCTCGAGCCCCGATCTGTTCTCCATGGCGTGCACACCACGGTCCTGGGAATGTCTGCCTCTGCTGCTCTGCCCCCAGAAATGATCTCTGGCAACCAATGTACTGATCATCTGGTTTAGTTCGGGTGGAGTCTTGGTAAGAATGTCCCCTCCTGGGCATAGAGACTCAATCACCCTCTGGCTTTCCGGAGAGAGAGCACTGTAGAAGTTCCCCACTGTGAATGCATCACTAAAGCCATGATGGGGACACTGCCAGAAAAATCCCATGCACCGCTCCCATGCATCACGAAGTGACTCATCTAGTTCTTGGCGGAAGTGGGTGATCTCCCGCTGGATCTCTGTAGTCTTCGATGCCGGATAGTACCTGTGCACGAATTTGTCAGCCAGATTGTCCCAAGAGGTGATGGACAATGGGGGCTTGGTCTCCAACCACCTCTTAGCATTCCCCGCCAGAGAATGGGGAAAGAGGTGAAGGCGGATTGCATCATTAGGGACACTGTTCAGCTTGAACCCGTTCATCAGCTGCAGGAAACGGGACAGGTGCACCCTTGCCTCCTCATCCTTCAAGCCATGAAACTGGACAGAGGATGTAATGAGTTGAATCCATCATGGCTTGATCTCGAAATTGTTCGCTGGAATGGGCGGATAGAGGATGACAGGGCGGATGTCAGCAACCCGTGGAGTATAGTAGTACTCCAAAGTGGGACCCGGTGGTGGTAGGTGATTCCCCAAGAGCTGATTCACCGGGGGAACCTGGAGAGGATTCTCCGGGGGTGGATTGTGATCTCCTTCCATCTCGTACTCCTCCTCGGACTCGCTGCTCAAATGGTCGTCTATGCGCTCCTCCGTAGCCAGTCTAGCTCGTTGTTGTCTCCTGAGTTGGCGACAGGTGCGTTCGATCTCTGGATTCAACGGCAGTAAACCTCCCGACTGGCTACGGGTCATGCACTACCTGCACATAATCAAGCAAGCAAACCCGTGAAGGCACAAGTGGGAGAAGACAAACAGTCAATGCGAAAACGAAAGTGCTAAAGTAACATAAATCACTTTTCTTCAACAACCTAGCCGTCCCCGGCAACGGCGCCAAAAACTTGACTCACTCCTACTGTCACTCTAGGAATTGGCCAAGTGTAACCACTTCCTAAAGCGTAGTATAGCGGGTTTGGGTTTAAATGTCAACCCGGGTCCTAGATTTGATGACTACTCGGTGAATTCTTGTTATCTAGCAATGAAACTTTAATGCAAGTCTAAACTAAAAAACAAACAAAGCAAGTAAACGGTTGTTTTCAGGTTAAGAGAGGTAACCCGGATATGGTTCCCCCTAGACTGCAGTTAAGCCGGATTGCAATTCACCAAGTTTAGTTTCCATGAAAATTATACTGCGGAAGGTTCTTAAACAGCCTGAAGTCTCGACTAAAGGTCTTCAGACCCTCTCAATCTGAGTCTCTAGCGGGCGACTAACCTCCACCGGAGTAAACAGATTGAGGCCCTACGAACAAAACCTCCACTACCGAAGTGAATTCGGTACAGAATAGTGAGTTGGCTCCTCGACTAAAGTCACTAACTCCCTACCTTCAATCAAGGATGCTCTATCAACCTAGGCAGATATTCTTATTCTAGGTTAAAGCAGAAACAACATGAATTTGACCAGGATTCAAGTCATTCAATCATTCAAGCCTCAATCGAATATAATCAACTCATGAAATCAGTACTTGGGTTCATACAATCAGACCTAACATACAAATCTAGGGTTCTCCATACCCAGATGAATGGGAGAACTACTCCATGGAGAAAGAAGCAAAAACAGATTCAGACGCGGAAATCATACTGTGAAGAATGGATTTCTGCTCCTGGACGTTGATCGGCACTTCTCCAAGCTCAAGCCAAGCTCCAATGGTGATGAAGATCAAGCTAGGGCACTTGGGAACTCTTGTTCGTCACTTTCTCACTCTAGGAATAGATCTCTCTCTCTAAAACTCCAATCCCTTGATTTTCAGCCTTCTTTTCCCCTAAAACTGCTGCCTGTCGCGATACCCGGTCGAAATACCCGGTCGGGTATTTGGGTCTCGACCGGGTATTGTTGAAACACACGTTTTGAGGAAGGGAAAAATACTCGGTCTGTCCCAAGAATCCCCGGTCGGGGATTTCTGCCTCCAGCCCGGGACCCTCTCTGTTTCTCAGACGCCCAAAACAGCAAATACCCGGTCTCCTCAGAATAATACCCGGCCGGGTATTTTTGGTCATGGTCGGGTATTTTCTTCCTCCAGCACACTTCAAGTCTCACTTGCTCCTTTCGACCCGAATCTCGTTCCTTCGCCTCGATTCCAACGCCGGGTCCTGAAACATGACATAAATGCACAACCTAGCGTGAAATCGGCTTAAAACACGAGAGTCAACCTCTCAAACGGATCAAGAATAGGGGTGAAAACATGTGTAATTATCGGTGTATCAACACCACAGCAGCTGCTTTCCCTTTGGCCCGGCTTTTGATTTCGAAGCACTGTTCCTCTTCCTCTTCCGAAGATGCCGCAAAAGGGTCCACCTCACCAAACTCATCATCCCCTCCAGACGGCGGTGGGGAGGGCTGCTGATGGCTAGGCAGGGCAACAACCCGTATCGGGACGTCAATCAATTGCTCCTCCTCAACTAGCGGCATTGATTTCCTTCCTTGTCGAGCATGGGCCACTCCTTGCTGCTGTTTGCGACCATTGCGGCTGGTATCCGCTGGGGCATTTAACGCACTCTGCTTCTTAGCGTTACGCAGTCGCCGTAACCCATCATGAGGAGAGGGCATCACAATTGCGGCCTTTTTGAGATTGGACACAGCCCGTCCCTTCCCCTTCAGCATAGGCTCGTCACCCTCCTTTCCCTCGTCACCTACATGCATGGCATGCATGATAGGATTGGGAAGAAGAGCATCCTCCTCTGACTCCTCCTGAAGCAGCAGCCTCCTGCGGTTAGTCATCCGCTGAGTGGGCTCATAGCTCCCAGCCCGATCAGCAACTCCATCCAAGTGGACCGACACGTGACCCCCATGATCCTGGGCCGGCCCCCGCATAGCATGGGCTTCAGAACCGCACTTCTCCATCGGGCCAGTACTCTGATGCCACGGCCGAATGGACTCATGGGCCTGAACCCTACGCGTCTGGCCCATCTTCCTTCCATCCCCGCGTCCACCTGTGAACTCCACACGGCGGCCTGGACGATTTCTGCCGACCGTCGCCCGTTCCTCCACCAGCGGGCTCGGCGGAGAATTACGGCCAGCGCGGCTCCGATGCAAATTTAGCCGCGGTGACTTCTTCACAGTGAAGCCACGAGGGCTCCTGGCCTTGGTCATCTCAACACCTTGCCCAACCTCTGTCGCCGTCAAGACTTGAGGCTGCCGCCCCTCTAAGAAACCCACCTGCTTTCCACCTTTGCTTTCTTCTCGCTGAGCACCGGGTTGGGTTCTAGCCTCACCTCCTTCCCGTTTCTCACGGATTTCCTTGTTAACCCAAACTGACTTGGAGCCGCCATGATACACGGGCAAATCATCATCATCATCATAAATCCTAGTTCCAGCTTTCTTGGTGGACATGTGAGGCCCGAATCTTTCTTTGCGGGTAGGGGGATCAAAAGAGAAATCGCTCATCATGTGGCCAACACGACCACATTGGAAGCAGAATGATGGTAGATGCTCGTATTTGAAATTGACCCAAAAGCCACCCGTTTCATCACTGGCCTCCCAGATTTGCGAACGTAGCGGTTGAGAAAAATCAATCAGAGCTCGAACTTTGACGAACCATTGATCCGTATCCGTACAGGCAAATACACCTGATTCAAGGACATGACCAATGGCTTCATTTGCCATCTTTCTTCCGAATTGTTTAGTACAACACTCTTCTTGGACGCCCCATAATTGAACACGAAATGGTACGATCGCAAGATCATCAAAGATTTTCTTCGAAATGTTTGGTAGCCAAGCGCAGACATGGAGAATTTTGTCCTCAATTACCCATGGCAATCTTTTCAGCACCCAGTTCCGCGATCCTTCACTAGGCAAAACAAACTCAAAAAGTCCATGTTTTGCAATCATGACCCTGATCTTCCCTTTCCCCTGCCATGGAATGTTTAGTGCTTCCTTAAGCTCAGTCACAGTCACTTGATTAGTAGTGAACAGCCTGCCCACCAGAGCGCACGAGCTTCGGAACCGCGCCGGTCTCACTTCAGTCATGGAGAATTGTTTCACCTGGTCCTGCTGGATGCGCGCCATCGAGGAAACTGTAGACATAAAAGTGAGGGACGAGTTCAAAACCGGGACCACCCTCTCAAGGCTATCAACCGAATTATACGAGGGGTCTGTGGTCGGAAAGTTTTCACGAATCCAGTCGGGGATTGTCAAAGAAACTTGGGAGAGGGGAGCTGGAGAAAAAGGAAGAGAGGACTCACGTGAACCTGAGCTGAGCAGTTGAGTCGGGTGTTCGCAAAGCTTCCCTACCACCACCAGAGCCTTTCTATTTATCACGCTTGTGCGGTTCAACAGAGCTTATATAAGAGGGAGTTTGCAGAAACCACCCGCTCCTGGCTACCGCCACTAGGTCACGGGAATAGGAGAGACGTCCACTACTAGGACGTCGGGTGATAGCTGGACTCTTCTTCCAACTAATCTGAAGATGGGGTAGAATCCCACCAAATCCGGGCAGCAGTTGAAAGCCTGGAAATCCGTTTTTGGTTTTTCTTCCGTGAATCTCGCCGACTGATCGTTATCGTCTCCGCGACAAGAACGCCGGCAAGCTGCCACCGGAAAGTATCGTATCATCGCATATTTCTGGGCAAGACACCCTTTCCCGGTCGCCCTCGGGGGTTGCCGTTGATCAGGAACACCCTGGGTTTCGACCTCCGTGACCGTATCAGTTTTCCGGTCGATATTCTCGATCATCACCAAGACATGGCCCCGCTCAACCCCAACACTCTGGTAAGTTTTCCCAGTGACCATCTGGTCATCCAATGGGACAGGAGGTCTCTGAGGGTTAGCCTCTGCATCATCGTCCAAGGTGAACGACGAGGGTAGCGAAAAACGCCAAACCTCCATTTTTGATAATTTTGGACGTTTGATTATACCCGTCTCACAATTTACTTTGTCCCGGAAACAATCTAGCTTCCATTTTTTTCCGATCCAAAACCTGGATCTTCTTGGGGGATTGCTCATTCCAGGCGCACTAACACCCTGCCGTTCACCGGCGAGCCTCCGATTTGGGTCAAAAACCGACCCTTCTGAATGCCTGTTCGCATTCTTTTCCTTGAATCCATCAAAGCCTTGATTCTGCAGGCTCACTTTTACCATTATCAGCAGCGCCGCGCAGAGGATCCGGCCAATTCTCCGACCAAGCTCAAAGAGCAAGAGGAGAGCGACCCAGAGCATTTTTTTTCTCGAAAATACGCCAGTAGGCAACTTGTTGACTAATAATAGTGAATTTTTAACGAATTAGAAACTTATAAATACGAGTGTCATATTAAAATAATGGAATATAAATGACGACTTCCCAAAATATACTGCTTTTGGAGCAATGCCAACCACTTCTCATAAATTTACTTTCACTACTAGTAAATTTATGATTATAAATAATGGATTGGTATAGTTGTAATCCCATTAGTTTTGAAATTGAAGGTTTCGGTGGTTAACGAAGTGGTATAATAATCAACTACCTATGCTGAGCGAATATCAATATAAAAATATGATGGGGATGAATAGCATCAGGCAGGCCATTGTTAACATATATATCTATATAAGCTATATATCTATTAATTGGCTCCTATAATTGTTCAATTTTTTTAATGAAAAGAAGTGTCGGGGAAATGAATTCGAACATAGAGTGTGATTACTTTGACCAATAGATGATATGAACTTTCCTGTATAATAGCACAAACAAAACAAAATTATAGTGTTACTAGAGTATGTGTAGTACGAGTAGTATTGTGTTATATATACTACGTATTGTTATGTAATTGGTCAGAGTTATATTTCTTATCTGAGTTGTAGAAGTTATGTAATTTCCGTATTAGTGTTAGGATATTAAAGAAGTATTGGTAAATCAAAATACGTTAGAAATAGTTGTATATTATTACTTAAATCAAATAGGGTTTCTATCGTGTACAAAGACTGACTTCTATAATAACCCTAACACCAATACAAAAATTATCTAACTTCTACGACTCAAATAAAGAATATAACTCTTACTAATTACATAACAATACTCGTAGTATAACACAATACTACTCGTATAGTTACAACTTACAAGATAAATAAGGTTAATGTTGAGAAGGTAAAAATTAGTCCAATCTGATCACTAATACGAACAAAAAAACATTAACCCGTAAAAAAAAAACTAACCCGAACCTATGTGATCAGTTTACCGATTCGCTTTGAGATCAGTTAATCCCGTCTTGATATCTATAAAAGATATAATGGCAAAACGAAAGTTAAATTTTCAGGGATTCAAAATCCCAGCACCCAGAGGGTTTCCCGGAAGGATATATATGTCATATCACCCATATTAATTGATCCCTTGCGTTTTGGTGCTCCCTTGCTTTCGGGCGGAGATTCCCCTCTCTGTATATCATTCATTGGGCCAACTAAAGGCGGCCCAAGGTAGTCCTCCCCAGCTACGAGCCCAAAACCCATTGGTGAGTCTCATGTAGGCAGCAACATATTGGGAAAACAAGCCAGGACCTGTCGTATTCTTCAGGACCAGCCGACAGCCCTGGGGAACACAACGCCGGTTCGTCTTCTTCTCTTCTTCAACATTGATCTTCCCTTTCCTTCTCGAAACATACCGCAAAACAGGAGCTGCAATTGCTCAACCCGTAATCATTGTACAGACCGTTTGTCTTCTTATCTATGTCGGCGTTCTTCTTTCCTTTCCTTCTCCAAACATACTGCAAACACAGGAGCTGCAATAGCTCAACCCGTAATCATTGAGTGGGGCTGTGCTGCGACGTTATTCACGCAGCTAATACGAGGTACGTTGGTACGGGTATTGTGAGTAGCGTTGGTCAGGGGTAATATCCCTTCCGGTATGTCAGCTTCATAGTTCAAGATTACCTATTCTCATTGTCGTTCCCTGCAATATCTTTCTATTCTGTTGTCTTCAAATATCATCTTTTGTTACTAATTAAGTAATTACTAATTAAGTAATTATACCTCACCGTGTTGTTTGGTCGTTCAGGGTCTTCGTGGAGGCAACTATGGCCGCAAATCACCCCGCTGCTGGTGCCTCTACATTGGGTTTAAGTGGTCGGCAAGTACATCATTCAAGAAAACAATGTACTTTCTATTCCTATGTTCTTTTCCTCTGCCCATTCTTCTCCTATATGGTTAACGTGTGCACACAATATAAGGCCTTTCCTCTCCCGTATTTTGATTTTCCAGGGTTGATGCGGGCAATATTCAAGCCGCCAAAACCTCCTTCCAGACAACAAATTGCTGCTGAACGGGATCGTATCCGTCAACGTAATACAGCGGCCCCTGTTCAGTACATTATATTAAACGCAGTCATGTTTTTTGGACGTAAATAATGCTAGTTTATATTTTATCCTTTCAGAAATACAGATTCTTGAAACACAATTGCGCTATATCGATCGCATGATCGCCCAGGCCAATCGGCACCGACGACGGGTGATTTTGAACACGCGCTTGAGACCTACGGTTCAACATGCTAGACATGGTAATCATCAATATCTTTTAGAGGTGTCAATCCATTTTTTGAGGCGCAGTATATAATTTGCTCTGACTTCATTACCCTTACATATGTTGCTTGCGGTAAATATGGATGGGATGAAATTCAATTGTTTGATGAATTGTTGATTGAGTAAATGCATTGCCAAATTTGATGTCTCAGATTATAGTTCCTGCATCTCACGATTGCGGACAAAACGAGCACGAGTTATGCGATCAATTTATTTGTGCAAAAGGCGGATGATTCATGCTGTTCCCAGGAGGTTTTCCCGTTTTCATGGTTTGTGGTTTCATATTTCATGTTTTTGCAGGGGATAAATCTAATTTTTTATGTATCAGCCAACTTATGTAACTACTTTGATTATAGGGTATCCTGTTGTGGAAGTTTACAGTCTTGGCCAGCCTTCAAGCATTTGTCAGTACTGTTCAGCAATTATGTGGCCAGAAGAAAGTACAGTGCCTACTAGGAATCACGCCAATCCTGTCTTCCCATTATGTTGCAAAGCGGGAAAGGTTAAACTGCCTCCCAGACGTGATCCACCTGAATTTTTGCAAGAATTATTAAACTCGCCTACACCTATTAGCCGTCATTTCCGGGAAGCAATTCGTATATACAATGCTGTATTTTGCTTCATATCCCTGGGTGGCAAAGTGGATCGTGGGATAAATGATGGCCGGGGTGTGTATGTATACTCTATAAGTGGTCAGATTTATCACTCCATAGGCAGCTTACTTCCTGCAGAAGGTCAGGCACCGAGGTTTGCGCAATTATATATTCATGAATCTAGCTCTGAACTGCAGAATCGTTTACAGTTATTTCCAGTTGATGATCAGTCAAATTCATTGCGTCCAGAGATTGTTGAAGGATTGCAAAACATGTTTGACAGAAACAATGTTCTGGTCCAGACCTTCCGAATGGCTAGGGAAAAGATTCATGAAGGCAATGTTCAAGAAGTGAAGATCAAATTATTTGCTAAGCGTACACATGATGGGAGAGAATATGATCTGCCAACAGGAAATGACATAGCAGCATTGATTGTTGACGAAACAGGTCAGGATACATATTCGCCAGATATTATTGTCCAATATAAGAGCTCTCAACTCGAGAGAATTAATTTTCATCATCCATCTTTGATGGCATTACAATACCCCATTCTATTCCCTTATGGCGAGGATGGATGGCATCCGGATATAAGCTGCAATGATGTTGATGATAATGATGATGACAATCCTGAGAATCTTTGGAATGACAAATCTTTGTCCCAGTGTGATTACTATGCATACCGCATGCAAAGTAGATTTCAGGAGTCAAATTCGTTGTTATTAGCTGGAAAATTATTTCAGCAGTATGTTGTCAATGCATATGCATTGGTGGAAGCAGAACGGCTTGATTGGATCCGCAATAACCAGTCTAAACTTCGTGCCCATTACGTTAGTGGTTTGCTCGATGCTTTTCTACGGGGTGACTCTGATTTAGAGATGACTGGGAAGCATGTGATTTTGGCTGCTTCGCATACTGGGAGTCCACGTTATAAGTATGAAAATTTCCAGGATGCTATGGCTATTTGTAGGTGGCTGGGATACCCTGATTTATTTATTACATTCACCTGCAATGCAAATTGGCCAGAAATACAATTTATGGTTGACTTGGTCAACTCAGATGGTCGCAAAGATGTCAACAGATCTGATATTATTGCTAGAGTCTTCAAGCTGAAACTGCATCAACTAATGACTGAGATCAGGGATAAAAAAATTTTCGGAGCCACAACTGGACGTAAGTCATACACTTTGGTTAACTTTTCATTTTATGTTATGTTAGGTCATTTTATTTCATAGCCATAAATTTGTTTTGTCATTTTCACTTATTGCAACTAAGCATTTTTTTTCTTCACTTACTGGCCTTTATTGCATGGCATCTTTCACATTACACGTCCCATTTTAAAGTACGTTTGCATCCATTTTGTTTTTTTTCCCACAAGTAATTGCTTTGTTTATACCCCTCCCATGCGTGTATTGCATGTTTATGTAATGCACATACTCAATTAGACCTCCACATAACTGGAAGTTTTTAAATTCTCACAAATTGCAATTGTCTTTTCCTCCAACGCTGAAATATTTGTCAGGATCCTATGCACAATAAATACGGTGGTTTTTTTTTTGTTTGTTTGCAGATGTTATGGCAATTGAGTTTCAAAAGCGGGGCCTCCCACATGCTCATTTGTTAGTCTTCCTAGCTTCTGAATATAAACTAACTGGCCCGAATGACATTGACTCTGTAATATCAGCAGAAGTACCAAACCCCGATCTTGATCCAGAAGGTTATCGCGCTGTAACGGCATTTATGTTGCATGGTCCATGTGGTGTTTTAGGTCGTAATGCGCCTTGCACAGAGGGTGGTGTCTGTACGAAACATTTTCCGAAGCAGTTTTGTGAGCAAACTACTATTGATGATAATGGATTCGCCAAATATCGACGGCGCGACAGTGGGATATCATTCACAGTCAACTCTGTGCCGTTGGACAATCGTTTCGTTGTTCCATACAATCGCTATTTGTTGTTGCGTTTCGATGCACATATAAACGTTGAGTTTTGCAATAAATCCAGGTATGTTCTAAAATCATTTTTATAGATAGTTGTATACCGGGTGTCTTTGCTTTACTATATAGTATATAGACATGCTGGGCAGATTAGGTGGGTGGAGCACCCAGCTCGGCTGCTTAATGGATTTTCTTTGATTTTCAATTTTTTTTTGGACACATCATGAATGCGTACTAAGTATAGGTGAAATGATTATTGGGGGAACTTAGCTATTCCTCCCCGTTTGCTTGATTTACTTGGTTGGCAGTGTACAGTTCAGCCATGTAATTTTCGGCCAACATTCCCCAAAAGTCAAAGAAATCCTCTAGCTGTTCTGTCATCATCCATTAGCTTTTATTGTGGGGTTTTAGTTTATCCATTTATGGTAGGCATTCCCTAATTTATATCTGATATAGTTTTTTTTTTTTACAAATATCTTATATGGTAGCCATTCTCCAATTTATATCTGATATAGTTCAAATGGATGTAATTAGCTGTGTCCATGTATGCCCATGTGAGTAGAGAAGGATTGCAAGTTACCGTAAATGGGGATCCTATGCTGGACCCCAAAAATTTAAACTATACCCGCAAAATGGACAAGCTAAAATGATAATAAATTCAAATGTACCTGGCAAAGCAAGAATTCAGTCCGCGTGTCATTTCCTTTGAAATATAATGTCCATATATACCTATACGTTTTGTTTCTCCAGACGGCAGGAGCGGAAGTGATCGTTGACTAATGTATTTCACTGTTTCATTGGTACACTCTCCTATTCTTAAGTTTCATGCGTAGTAGTTCATACTTTCATCTATTTTGCAGGGCAATCAAATATTTGTTCAAGTATATCAATAAACCACAAGATCGAGCAAAAGCATCATTAGTTCCTAGGGAAAATGAAGCTGAAATCCAATCTGGTGCTTCAACTTCCAATCCCACAACCCGTATTGATGAGATAAAAGCATATCTTGATTGCCGTTACATCACATCTGGTGAAGCATGCTGGAGGTTGTTCAAGTTTGATGTCTACTCACAATACCCATCGGTATTGCGCATGTCTTATCATCTTCCAGGTCAGAATGTTGTCTCAAAGCGGCGTTCAAACCCTCAAGGTGTGCTACGATCTAAAGGTGCTCAAACCTCTATGTTATTGGGTTGGATGAAAATGAATCGGCTCTCTGCAGAAGCAAGAAAGTATACTTTCGTAGAATTTCCTCAACATTATGTTTGGAATAGAACAAAGAGGGAATGGCATAAGAGGAAATCCATGTTCAGTATTGGTCGTTTATACTACTGTCATCCTTCCCCAACAAATGACAGGTTCTACTTGCGTATGCTACTGCACATTGTTCGTGGTGCAGGAAGTTTTGAGGACATCAGAACAGTGAATGGAGTTTTGCATAAATCTTTTAAGGAGGCATGTTATGCGCATGGTCTATTGGCTGAAGATAATGAATGGAATGACTGTTTAGTTGAAGCATCTGCTTGGGCGTCCGGTAAAAAGCTTAGAGCTTTATTTGTCACTATCATCAGCATGTGTCAAGTTTCTGACATTGGCAAACTATGGGAGCGGAATTGGTCACTGTTATCTGATGACATATTGTATGCCCGTCGAAAGGAACTTAATATGCCTACTTTAGAGATGACTGACATTCAGTTGAAGGAATGTTGTTTGCTTGAGATAGATAAATTGCTTGCAAGAAATTGCAAAACTCTATCAGATTTTCCAGGATTACCAGTTCCCAATCTTGGGAATGTGCAATCTTCGTCAAATAGATTGATCACAGCAGAACTTAGCTATAATGCTACAAATCTTGGTCAACAATTTGAAGGTATGGTTTCAAAGCTTAATGCCCAACAAAGGATAGCTTTTGATGAAATTACAGATTCAGTTTATGGATATAAGGGTAGGGCATTCTTTATTGATGGATGTGGTGGAACAGGAAAAACTTTTTTGTGGAAAGTAATTTGCTTGAAACTGCGCTCGGAGATGAAGATTGTTTTGTGTGTAGCTTCTTCTGGGATTGCAGCCCTTTTAATGGATGGGGGTAGAACAGCTCATTCTCGATTTCACATTCCAGTAGACCTTGATGGTAGATCGACATGTCATATTGACCAGGAAAGTGAATTGGCAGAGCTCATCCAACGTGCTTCATTGATTATTTGGGATGAAGTTGTCATGTCACACAAGCATGCTGTAGAAGCTGTTGACAGATCATTGCGGGATATCTTGCGGTTTCGGTATCAAAACAGTCAGGGAAAGCCCTTTGGAGGTCTTACAGTTGTTTTTGGAGGAGATTTTAGGCAAACTTTGCCGATAGTATTGAAAGGTTCACGAGCTGATATCGTGAACTCATCTATAAAGAGATCTTACCTTTGGCACCATCTGAGGGTGATTAAATTGGTTGAAAATATGAGGCTAGCACGAGCCAATTGTTCCCCAGAAGAAGTTCTTGAAATAGCTAATTTTCATACTTGGCTTTTACAGGTTGGAGATGGAGCAGATTCAGATGTCTATGGTGAGTCCTCTATTCCGATTCCTCCTGAATTAATAGTTCCCCGACAGTTCGAGCCTGTTATCGATATTGTATCTTCCATATATGGTGATCTTAGGAGTCATGCACGGGATCATAATTATTTGGTCAATCAAGCGATTTTGGCTCCACATCATGATATGGTTTCTGCAGTGAATGGATATATTCTGGGTGAATTTCCAGGTGATGAAGTGTCATATTTCAGTTGTGATTCTATTGAGATAGACCCTGGAAAGGAGGGCATTGTGGATGCTGATTATTCTACAGAGTTTTTGAACACACTAATAGTTGGTAACTTCCCTGACCATGAGCTAAAACTGAAAGTTGGGTGTCCAGTAATTCTACTACGAAATATGGATCAAACTATCGGTCTTTGTAATGGTACCAGAATGGTTGTGAAGACTTTGGGTAAATGGTTTATTGAGGTGGAGATCTTGACAGGTACCAATGTAGGTGACCGTGTGTTCCTCCCCAGACTGACATTGTCAACCCATTACAAGAGCCTTAACTTCACTCTCATCAGAAGACAATATCCAGTTTCTTTGTGTTTTGCCATGACTATTAACAAAAGCCAAGGCCAAACACTAGCTCATGTTGGTTTATGTTTGCAAAGACAAGTTTTCACTCATGGTCAACTATATGTTGCATTGTCAAGAATTACCACAAGGCAGGGCTTGAAGATTTTGATTGGGAATGAAAATGGAGAGGATGGCACCTCAATGGTCAACATAGTATTCCCTGAAATATTTGAATGATTCATTGCACCATTAATGTAGTTGCTACTGATGCGTACACTTTGAGTACACTACCAACTGGATATTGTTGGAACATTTTTTTTGCAGTTCATTTTGTTCACCTGCTCATCGGTATTGGTTTTATTTTCTTTTGTAGATATGGGTGTTTATTGTCGATTTTGATGTCATTTATTGGCAAATCGTGTTCTACTTTTTTTGCTACTGTCATGTGAATAAGATGGGCCCCTTTAGTGCACATTGCAATTTTCCTCCTTATGCAGCAGGAGGCAAGTATATATTGGTTCATTAATTGAAACATTGGCTTTCTTTTATCCTTTTATCATAGTTAAATATGTAAACTGGTGTTCACGTGGTAGTCAACTCCGATCCCCATTGATTGAGGCAGGCGACGAAGCATGTAGGGACACGTAGTATAGAATTTTGCTTCCCAATTGATCTGCCTTTTGCCCAGCGTTGGGCTTTAGGTAACATTAGCAATTTTATGCCAATTTAATCCCATAAATTAACGGTTATGCAATTGGTGAATATTGAAAATTTGTTTACAAGAGTACTAATTTCAGCTCATTATATAATTATTGTTTTGGGCAACATGTCAAAATATCAAAGTTACTTCACTAACAAAATGAGTAATATAAAATATATATGTACCCCTTTCTTCTTTCATAGCGCCATTTATGCCCAATGGAAGCTTCCCAAAGAATAAGGATCCCCACCTTTACTCCTTCATCTACGATCTTGATTCCCAACTGGATCGTCTCATCTTTACCCAAGTGATTCTTACCTCGATCGAGAGCGTTTACTATCTAACTCCTTCCTATTTTGATATTCCCCTTTTCAAATCCTATTTTATTCCCAAAGTTCAGCAGTCCCCGGGACTAAGTAGCGGTGTTTAGGGATGGCAATGGGTCGGATTGGGTTGGGTTTTGCCAAACCCAAACCCATGGGTTTATTCGTGAAAAAAACCCAGGGTAAAACCCACTGGGTTTGAAAAACTCAAACCCAACCCACTGGGTATCCGCGGGTTCATGGGTACCCACGGGTTTTCGTCGTAAAAAATTACAATAACAAGTTCCTATCAAAATTAAAACCAAATATCAATCTCTCAATACAAATTATTCATATATAAAACACCATTCTAGAAATACAAGCAAATCACAAATTAACTATACAAATTGTTCAACACCAATATTTAAAACTCAAGAAAATTGAAGCAAATCATAAATTATCCATAAATAACATAATTAATTGAAAACTTCTTCCTTTCAATTAAGTTTCTTCACTGTCCACTCGATAACATCAACTTCGTTCTACACAATTAGAAAGAAAAATTAGACATGTCTCTACAAACATAAATAAGATTAGTTGTTTAGAATATTAAATATATCGAGGAAATTAATTATATGGGTGTGGGCGGGTACCCATGGGTCAGGTTTAACTAAATCCAAACCCAACCCGACCCGATGAATAGTGAACGGGTTTAAACCCAAACCCGACCCAAAACCCGTCAACACGAATTTTACCCGCGTTGACCGGGTTGGGTCGGGCGGGTACCCGTGGGTTCGGGTTTTGTTGCCATCCCTAGCGGTGTTGTTCTTTTAATGCAAAAAGATAAGCAATAAACCATATTTGAGAAGATTTGCAGCAAATATGTCGTAGCTTTTCTCTTCATTATGTTTTTAACTTTTTCCCACAGTGCAAGTAATCTATATATTATAATTGAATCCATAACAAAACAAATGCTCAAACACGTCAACTTCAAGTGGGCTTAATGGAAAATTCATGTCTTCAGTGTAATTGGGCTCAATTCCTTTTACCGTCCAAAGGCCCATGAGTGGAGATGACCGTCGACTCTGCGTGCGTCCAGCTTTGGTCACTTTCTAACGCCGTTGTCGTAGTCCTCTCCCAATTCAACATTCAATCTGTAAATTCTAGGGTTCATTGCCCCGCCATCGGTTTCTAAAGGAACCTACAAATTCAATGCCCAGCTTGGATGGGCTGTAAGAGTGCCACTGCGGGTGATTCTGACCGTTATGAAGCTGCGGAGGTGCAGAGCATGGTCAAGCTCGAGGAGCTGGGTTCATGCTGCGTGTACTTCCAGCTGCCGTGGAGCTTGAAAATGCCGCTTATGGCCCACGGCATATGTACAGACTCAAATTTCGCAACTATAGGCTCTGCGGCAGTTATCTCATCCTCAGCATCTGCGTTGCCGAACTATTGATCGTGGGTTGGGGAGTTTCCTAGGACTCCGCAGATGTTGCGTTCGTGGGTGATGGGCAGCTTATTTAAGTACCGCAACTGCTGCCTTTCTCAAAAAAAATTCCCTCCCAACCAGCAGCAGTCAGACTACTGCTCTCCTTCCTTTTTTGCGTTCAGGTATGGAAACCTTCTCTGTTTCTCCAAATTCTCTATTTCCATTACCCAGAAATCATCAACTTATTTGTGTATTGGTTATTGAATTTTGCCGCTGAAGAAGATGGACCTCCAAGGCATGCGCGACCTTGACACGGAGAAGCAGATATGGTCGGGTCCGTGTCGCGTTTCTCGCCTCTGGCTTGGTGTTCATGTCACCACCGACAAAGTCCTCCACCTAGACCTCATCCTGATTGACACAAAGGTATTCATGCATTCTCACGCGTCACACGTGTCACTTGCGTTTTGTAAAGTTGCACTCTTTGATTTCTGTATTTCCTTGTCTCTAAGGGAAACGATATTTGGGTACACATCCCACCGCTGTTGCAAGAAAAATTCAAACGCCTGCTGAAGGAACAACATGTCTATATTATCAAGAACTGTGAGCTCAATCCTACAGAATCGGGGTATCGGCCAATTGCTAATCCCTACATTATGTCATTTTCTCGGAAAACAACTGTTCAGCACGTATCTGAAGTCCCCTCGATTCCGAAATTCAAGTTTACTTTCATGAAAGCAAGTGATATGCCAGACAAATTTGGGGACACTACCATTCTTGAAGGTTAATGCTTAATTTCAATTTATTATCTCTTCTCGCACACTTCCAGAATCGCATCTCATTAGACGCTGCTTATTATTTTCCTAGATGTTGTTGGCCAATTAGTTCAGCATTCAGATCCAATCTCAACCTCCAATATTACTCGAAAGACCATACGAAAAGAGTTGCAAGTCAAGCTACTGGAGTAAGTCTTTACATATCTTCAACTGAAGAGAACAATTTGCAATTTATATGTAGATTAGATTTGCGATGATTAAATGATTTGTTATTCTGGTATGTCCTGTTTTTCTTCTTCAGCATTAGTGGACTTTATTCAATATCCAATTGGCCATGCAACTCTTTATTGTAGCGTCTCTCAAATTTGACACAAAAATAATGTGTTTGGTTTATCTTAAACTGTTGCTGCATTATCCCAAACTAATTAAAACAACATCAATGGTTGAATTCCATTGAGATTTTAAATCCGACCGTGCAAATTTGATGTCTTTACACTGTTTTCCAGTCCTCCCATGGCTTCATCATCGTAAAGTAACAATCTTTTGAACCTTCTAATACCAATGAGTAGTTAAGTAACGTCCCTTTCGGCCCTATGGGTCTTTGTCATTCTTTTGTCCCACCATTTCGGTGTTTATGGAGAACAAGAAATACAATGTTCATTGGCTTAGCAGCAAGGGATGTAATTTGGATGATAGAATATAACTTAAGAGGGTAGATAGTAACCAAAAAAGAATACAAATTGTTCTGATCCTTAGGAAATTTGGGGGAAAAAGGGACATCCAGGAAGTAATGCAAGTAGTACAGCACCATAACAGTTGGTGCTCAATCTTTTAATGAGTTATAGCATGTATACAAATAGAGTTATCCCCCCTTTTGTAGAATTATCTTTTGTTATCCCCCATTGTAGTTACAGCACAAAGAAGTCACCGTTAGCATCCTTTTGTATGTGTTTCAATCTCCTATAGCCACCAGCCTTTTATGACATAAGATAATTTCATATAGGGGAGATGTTGTGAAGGTCGTTGTATGGGGAAGATTAGTTGATGCGGTTGAGAAGATAATTACTGACCTTCAGAACCAACCAATTACATTGGTCATTACTGCTGTTATTGTCAACACATTCAAAGGTACTTTTTTCAAAGTTCTTACTTGCATTTGAAGATGATTCTGTTAGTCAACACTTATAGATTTTGCATCTGTTCAATTTGTAGAAGCATTTTCATTCTCATCATCTGGATCGACAGTGCTATATGCCAATCTTGATATCCCAGAAGTTCGTGCATTCACAACCAGGTTTCCACTACTTCTTAGACTCTGCAATATGCTACAAATACATATATTCCCGCATTTTCCCTTGACTTTTTTTTTTGTTTATTTGAACTTAGGGATGAGCAGCCACAACAACCTGCCTTGGTGGAACCGACACCAGCAAAACAGATTCCAGTTATCTCCCTTGCTGAACTTCTCGAGCTACAATCTGATCCTGACATGGAGGTAATCTGTACCCACCGGAGTAGGTTATAATTCTGAATAGTTCGTTCTTTGTGGAATAACCACCAGTCTATTCACCTTTTTGCTATTTTGTACATAGGAAATGGTCTTCTCTGTTGAGTGTAAAGTTGTCGGCATCAAACCAGGGTGGTGCTACATGGGCTGTCCCAACTGTGTCTTCAAGCCTATACAACGCCAGGGTCAGTTTTATTGTGTCCGCTGCAACAAAACTTCACCGCATAAGGCTGCCAAGTAAGTTAAGAATAAATTGGTCAAATTACATGAATGTGGGAACTTATCAATATGGAACTACCTACAACTAATCTATTTTACATGCTTCTGCTCCTAGATATCGCATTCAGATCGAGGTAGAAAGTGATTCTAGACCAGCCACATTCACGATGTTTGAATATGAAGGCAAGCGCTTTTTTGGTGTGAGTGCTGATCAACTCTTCCACAAAACGGGTCAAAACAGTGACTCGCCGCCTGAGGAGCTGCTTCAGCTGGTGGGGTTGACAAAGAGCTTCACCATCAAATTCAAGATCAATTTGTATGGTGATGGGCTAGCTGATTTCACTGTGTTGAAGATTAAAGACCCAACACCACAGGTTAGTCAACTTATCCATGCATTAACTCTGATTTCCACTGCATTGATTAAACATGGAATTATCATTTCCCACTGGATCACATGCAGTTTTTGGCCAGTAGACACTTAGCGATAGTAAGAGATTGGCGCTGGGTCTATGATGGTGTCCAGGCTTAGTGAAATGATTTGATATGATTTGATATGTTACTATGTTAGAGATGATGTTGTTGCCAAGTAGCAAGGGCCCGTTAAAATAGCCAAAAATAGAAAACATAAAAAGCTTGCAGATGGGAGTAGTGTGGCCATACTTGAACCAAGAGTGGACAAAACAATTAAGGCCCATTTGAATCCAATTGAAACGCATATGTACGTGAGAGGAAGTAAGAGATATTTACTTGCATGCGTTCAGGATTAGTGAACCTAAACAAATGCGAGAGCTGAAGGGTTGGCTCATTTTCTACTAGCCCCTCACTTATAATGCCACACATGTATTGTAATTTCACTTACATTTGCATTCTTTATTTGCATTATTCACATTTCAGGAAAGCGATTCAACTTTACACAAAGATGGATCATGTTCATCCATTACCAGTGGTCTTGAATCAAGCCTCCCTTCACCTCACCATTCAGAACAGATTGGTAGCAAAGAAGCTCCTGATGAACAAGATGAAGCAACCCCACCTCCAGACAAGAAACTGAAGACAAAAATGGTTTAGATTTACCTTGCTCGAAAATTGGTTGTACATATTATTAAACATCTTGCACTCCCAATGTCTTTCCACCATCATTTCGCAACTTCCTAGGACATTATATGCTTTTTAAGCCTTTCATATTTGTTGGCAGTATTATGTTTACTACTGCTTTTATGAACTTGGCCCTAGGAGCCTCTTTTGTATCGAATTTCAGTTGCGCCAGCCTATCTCCTTTGGTACATGATCCCTTCGTATGCTGAGTTTTTTCCTGTTGATTTTCACTACAACATGAAAAGTCAATGTGTTTGTACAATTTTAGGTTGCACATTCTAATGTAGATAGCCTTTTTTGTTTGAACGGAGATTATTACTAATGATTAATGATTAAAAATTAAACGTAGGGTATAATTAAGATTAATACATTTTCAATTAATTACTTAAAGTTTCCATGACTTAATTTCCGTTATGATTATGTATTTTACTTTCCTTACCAAGTGCTGAAGTGTGGTAACCCGTGATTAGCTTATTTCCTACTGTGGAATGCTATTTCTTTCTCTATTTTTATGAAACCTGAGAAGAATGAATTAAGTCCCTATTTCTTTCTCTATTACCTTAATTTCCGTTATGATTATGTATTCAGGGCTGAAATTCCTATTGGGCTGAATATTAATAAATTCGAAGCCAGCTTGGGCTGACTATAACAGACGGAGGCCAGGTATAGCCCAATGTGATTAACCTACAAATTGTTGACACCCTACGATCCATCCCATCTATTATTCCTTTGCCTTTTTTTTTCTAGACTTTTCCCCTGCTTTTTGCATGCTACAGGTGGCATTCCATCCCTACATTTCCTCAACAAGAACTCCAAACGCAGCAACCACTTCAGAACGTGGCCCGCATCAGTAGGGAGATTTTATCCCGCTCTCACACGTTCAACGTTCTAATAATTAGAATGTCTTCCCCAAATAATTATTCATACTCAGTCTTTATCATTGGGTTTTGGTTCCTTCGTCTCTCTGAAACCAGCAAACAATCAAAGTAACTAAGTTGCGGATCTTCATTCGAGTTGCGGATCTTCCTTCATCATGTCTTTCGCTGCTATATCACAACTATTACCAACCCTACAATCAAAGTGTCGGCTGCGGGTTCGCATTCTGCGTGTATGGCCAACGCAGAGCATGGCGGGTGATACAATTTATTGGCTTAATCTCCTCTTGATTGACCGTCAGGTAAGCATGGCGGATGTTAATTGTAACAACATGTTTTCATAATGTGAATCGTAATCATCAAGGTCTTTATTTTTTTAGGGTGCAGAGTGTCAAGGAATGATTTTAAATTTTCATCTTCCCAAGTTTGACAAGAAAATTGAAGAAGGAAAAATATATGCTATTTCCAATTTTGAAGTTGATGACGCTCCAAAACGCGATCGCGTCACCGCTTCCCCCATATACATCACATTCACTGCAGAAACAGTAGTTGAGGAGTTGGTCGATGCAAGTGATATTAAAAAATACAGCTTCAAATTCTTGAAATCTACCGACTTCGCAACCGCATACGCGAACGATCAATATTTGTCAGGTTCAACTACTGTATCCCATCCTTTGACAATCAATGAATTAATACAGAGCTTTATTTTGACCATGTCTTTGCTTACACGTTCTTTCTCTGCTATGTGTTCTTTCAGCATCCATTACATGCTCATACAAAAACTTTAAATTGTGTGGTCCTTTTTTTCATAAACACATATTAAAAAAATCCATTTCCTTTTCGTGTTGCACTCAGACCAGTGATCATATCCTGGCGGCTGGCACAATGCTTATACATTGGACATTATTTTTTGTATATTCCCGTATGAAAAATGCTTATTATTCGAACAATACATCCCTTTATCTTATCTCATTACTTGCGATTTTCTAATACAATATTGTACGTATGAAATATGTTGCTCATGCCAGATTTAGTTGGTGAAGTTGACCATACAGAACCAACCGCCGAAATATTTGTTGGATCAGTCCGTGAAAGGACAATAACTGTGTACCTAAAATTGATAGAGTGAGTCCTCTAACTTTTATTGTCATTTGATGTTCACTTGCATGTTCCACATGCTCTAGCAATATCACTTTACTTCCTCATATCTTTTAGGGGAGCCGTCATCCGGGTACTACTAAATGGATCCTTAAGTCATGCATTTGAAGCATTCATGGCTCATCAACCGCAATCAACGGTGGTTTGTGTACTTACTTCAGTATACGTGGAGAAAACATACACAAATGGTATTCTTGCTATATGGGTTCATTTGCTGACAATGGCTATTGCACAATTTGATATATGTTTGTTCCGTATAAAAACATCTTTTCTTCACCAAGTTACATCATCATTGTCAGGCCAATATTACTTTGCAGCATACTCGGCATCCAAGTTATTTTTCAACTTGAATCAGCCGTTCTTACACCCATTTCTCAACCCGTGAGTACATTTACTTATGTAAAGAATTCGTATACCTGCACATAGCTATAAAAAAATGACTTCGTTATATTTAATTTCTTATGCCAGACTAAGAAAAGTCAAATACATCATTAAAGATGACTCCTATGAAGAAGCCAAAGACCGCGCAAAAATGTGTACAATTGCAGATCTAACTGTATTGCGCTTTCGTGGAAAATTGATGGTAAGAAGTTTTGCAAATTACAAATTTTTTATCATCATTTCTTCAATGCTTCCTACTAATCATACATGATCATTATTTTTACCTTTTTAATTCAAATATTAACTTTTGTAGGGAAACTACTACATTGTTTCTGGCCATATCCTCGACATGAAAGTCATACAGGAATTCAGCTGCAGGCAATACTTTGTTCAGCTCACTATAAGTGACAACTTTGCATCATGTCCTGTATATTTCAAATCACATAAATTTAGATCGATTGCACGTGCTGTGATCAACAAAGATGATGACTACGACGAGGATAAGCACTATACAGAGATACTCAAGTCTCTCACAGACCAATCTTTTTCTTTTCTCCTGAGGGTTCATTATGTATGTTTTAAGGGACGCAACTCTAATCTTGAACTATATGGTATTCTTAAGTAGCAAAAACCAATTATATATGGTTTGTTTCATATTTGCAAATTTGTATTTCTTTTGATTAGACATATTTCTACTCTTATTATCATATTTTCAACATATTATATGTACATATTTTTTTCCTAACCTTTCCCGGCCAACGGGCCGGGCCCTGTGCTAGTTGTCTCTTCGATGCACACAACGATAGCTCGCGACATGATGAATTTTTTATGATATGTTTTTTGTAATACAATATAATAGTCAAACCTTTTCGAAAACAATCTAATATTCAAATCGTAAACTTTCTGTCTGTTTGACCGTTAGTTGACACTTCAAAAAAGTTCGAAGTACGACACTTCATCAATATTCATCGATATCTTCTCTGAAAAACCACCAACATATCGTAGTTCCAAACCCGAGAAGTCCATGACTCCACCATGATGGTATAGAATATCTAAATATTCAGTCATCTGCAATGCCAAAACAAGAAACAAAGTTGTATTGTGACAATTTCCCCTAAACGAAGCTTTTTTGAAGCGTCAACTAACGGTCAAACGAACGGAAAGTTGACGATTTGGATATTAGATTGTTTTCGAAAAGGTTTGGCTATTATATTGTTTAAAATAAAAGGTTTGGATATTAAATTGTATTTATCTTTTTTTTTATAAATAAAATTTGCGTAGAGACAAGCGTGACAAATTATTAGTTGATGAGGTGTAATAAAGAGTGATCTCATAGTGAAATATTAGTGATTAATTTATATGGTGGCATCCATCATCACCCAACTCGTTATTTAGTTCTAGCCCCTTCTAGTTGGTATACACCAATGACAGAAGGAAAATGAAAGGGTCAATTCCAAGTTGTATATGCAAATTCTATATATTTAACTACTACTGATGGAATTTTCTTCGTGTGTGATGAGTTGTCTCGAAACTTAGAAGAATAGATTATAAAACAAACTGTAGACATCATTAGGGAGCCAGCGTTCACTTTATACACACAGCCTGCAAAAGCATCTCCTTCATTCGGCTAATTTAGTATTAACTATTATTACCACAGCACCAGACCCGTTGTCCGGGAGAATTTTGTGGAGGAATATGACATATAGTAATGTATATAATATTTAAAATATATGAAATGATTGTTTTGTATTTAGTTATGCATATAACATTTTTAAAGTAATTTAACTATGCATAATGTGTTTAGACCTCTATGAAAAGAGGGAAAAATGATATAAGCATTACATATAATTATTGAATGAAAAAATATAACTAATTGTTATTCATTATTTAATTAAATCATATATTTGAATATTATAGTTGTTTCTCATAATACATACATAATCAACCTTTAGGATAAAAGAAAATATCTCTCATAGAGTTTAGTATGTCCTTTAAGTTTTTCCCAATAGAGAGCATTTTTTAAACCACACAGTTGGTAATGGATCTGAAGTTGCTTGATTTGAAATATATAGGACATGATGTTAAATTGTCGCTAATAGTTAGTTGGAAAATACGTTGTGTACAAACTTCCCAAATTATTCTCAGATCGCAGGCATGTCTAGCAACAATGTAATAATTTTCATGGAGCAAATATTTTTTCATGAGTTAATTCAATAAATAAAAACCTATGAAAATCATATTACATGAAATATATTTACTCATTATGTTGATGAATGAGTGAGGGTATGAGTAGCATACATTTATTTTAAAAAGATAATAAGTTCCAAAGTATCATTTGGATTGTAGAGTATTTTATACTGAAGTCATAATTTAATTGTGGTTCAACCATTTCATACTGCTAAATATCACCTACCAATTCAGCATATGGTGTGAAGTTTTATGGTCGAACTGCCGATATGTATGATCTTTTAATTCAAACTTCAATAAAAACTACTAAAATGTTGACTTTATCAAATACCCCTTAAATCTCAGAAATTGCAATAATCGTATTAAGGGGAAAAATCATCCAAATGATAATACTGATTTATAATTTTTTATTGAAGTGGAAAAAATCTGTCAAATATAATATCATCCTCTAAGCAAAGGACAATGACAATTATTGCACACTACATCATTTTCCCGCTTTTTTAAATGTGTCCTCTCACTTTGTTTTGCCTTCCTCTTTCTTTTTTCATTTGTTCTTCCATCTCTCTCTGAGTTTTGTATCTCACCACTATCCCCCTTCCCTTCCTCTTTCTTCCCACTGCTTGGAATAGAGAGAAACTTAGAAACATCTCAATTACTTCTCCAATTATGCGTTCGAAATGCTTCTTCTCCATTCACAGTCGATAGTGTGAATCAGAGCACCTAAAACTTGTCGAACAGATGGTCGCTTATTCCTTGATAGAGCAAAGTAGTTTGCTAGCCTGTGAATAAACTAATTACTAAAAGTGATAAAAACAACACTCGTTAAATCAATTGAGTGAGTGTATAGTTAGTTCATCGCTTAAACCATTTTATTTATCAAAAGAATCAAATGCATAATCCGCTTCATCTTCACTTATTTACGTGTATTTGCCGTACAAATAATTACACATAAAAATTGTTTTGAACCAGCATATCAAACTAAATATCATCTTATGATTATTGGATCCAATCATGTCAGATTAGCAAGAGGTCTAAGGCTATTGGTCAATCAGCTAAAATTTAATACTAATTTAAGAGTTATATATCGCTTCCAAATGTTCAATACTCCTATTAAATTTATGAGTTTCAACTTTCAACTCCTTCCTCAAATTTTTAGACAAAAAATCCCCCCCCCCCAACCCCCCCATAAATACACACATTTTCAAAGAGATACTAAATCCCAATTTCTTCACTTTACTTGCTTCTAAACCCCCATAAATACACACATTTTCAAAGAGATACTAAATCCCAATTTCTTCACTTTACTTGCTTCTAAAGTTACTGTTGAAGTTGTTTGTTATTAGTGCAAGTTGTAAAAAGACTTTTTTAGCTATGTAGTTAATCAGGAATGATAATAGGCGTTAATCAACAATGAATGTGTTTTATAAACCTTTTAGAATATGAGCCGTCACACGTGGATGTGAAAAACTACTCATTAATTCAAATTTTATATGTTGTTTTTAGAATATTTTATTTTATTTTTATCAAATGACGCATTTGTCCATAAAACATGAGTTCACCAATATAGACTGTGTGGTGTTCGCACCTGTGCGCAAGCCTTGGAGTTTAAGTCTAGTACGACCCATGAAGCATTCATGCTTGTAAAGGGCTGATCCACATATATTATCTTCATGGTATGCGCTAACTGTGTAATGCTAGCTCGACCATGTGCCTAGGTATAATTATATGCATTCTAATAATTAAGTTTTTCCCCATTCACAACACTAAGATAAAAAAAAACAGTCATAAATGCACCAAGTATTCGATTTTGACTACCTGGTGAAGTTTACTACATTTGAACAAACTACCATTAATGTCGCAAATAATAAGTATACCTCTAAATCATACATAAAATATTTCAAGCATCACAAATATTAAAATTAAATTAATTCTTATAAAGAGTAAAAATTGTATACTGAGGTTAATTATAACTCATTTATACGTTAATGCCCTATAAATTGATTAACACATCTAGAATTGGTGAAATGAAAATCTCATTAAACTCAATATCGTCTCATTATTGGTAGGTCCATTCATGCCAGATTGGTAGATTAGCAAGAGGTTTAATGTTTAGCAGTTAACCAAGCTAAAATTTTAGAGAACCATTCACCTATAGTTTGTACACAATATTATTGCTTCGGATTAGTTATGAAAATTTATGTTAATTTACAAAATTCTTCCTGGCTTTTGCATATTCAATACTGTAATTCGATATGCATTATTTCAAACCATAAAATATGGGTTGCAATTCTAAGATTATCTGAAATTGTATAGGTTATAAAAAATTATAAATCACGTAGTAAACTTTGCTTTTTAGAAGATTTAATAGGCTAGCTAACCGTGATGGAAATGTCCTCTGCTTTTTCAAATCTTCGTTTAGTGTATGTTTACAATTTAAGAAGATAAAACAAATTTGTTTAGTATAATTGGTTGTTATTATTATTTTTGTGTGAAGGGACCATGGTTCAATTTTTTTTGTTTTTGATAATTCATCTGTATTCCAAATCAAAGTTCAGTGACTACATTGCTCTCTTTGAAAAGTAAAGTGACTAGAAAGACAGGTAGCCTATCAAGCCACATTTCTGTTTCTTCGATTTTGCCTTTCAATCGTGCCATCTCATGGGCACACCCATTTCCCTCCCTCTTCCAGAATCTCCACTCCACATTTCCACTCTCCTCTGCAGCATCTCGATTTTCATCACAAATCACCGCCACCTCCATATACGTGGTCTCCCGCTGATTGAGCTTCTGGATTAGAGATTGGCAATCCGACTCCAACAACAACGCTTGGGGTTGGTGTGCTCGATCCAATTGCAATCCCCATAACATCGCCTTCGCCTCTGCCATTTCAATCGACCATCACACTTTTGTCCGGTGAGTAGCTCCCATTATGAAATTGCCACCGCTATCTCTCAAAACCATTCCATAATCTGTTCCTTCTTCTCCTAGGACCGTCGCATCTGTATTCAGCTTGAAGACTCTCGCAGGTGGAGGCTCCCAAATAGACCTAGCTCGGGTTCTTGGCACTAGAGGTCCTGGGCTGCCCTGAACTTGCTGTGCCGCGTAATCTTCCAGGTAATTCTGGGCTTTCCCCACAATCTCCCATTCTTCTAGTTTAGGATTGTTGAAAAGATGGTTGTTGCGCTCTTTTCGTAGGAACCACAGTGTGATTAGCACTTTAGTTAGCTTTTCCTTGTTTGCTTCCTCGATCAGATCACATAACCAAGCTTCGCAGTTTTTCCCTTCACCCATCTTGATGTGTTCTTGCGTTTCCAACAGTCCACAGAAAGGACATTCATCAAAAGCATCTTTAACAGTGATACTTTTTTTTATAGGAAGTAGTTAAATAATTGTGATGACAAACTTACTTTTCCTATTTTCACTCACAATTCAAGAAATTGGAAATGGAAAATCTTAAAACATTAATGACCTGTTTAGTAACCATTCCATTTCCTATTTTTTCATTCCATTTCATTTATTTGGGAATGTAAACAAAAAAAGGGGTTTACTTTCCATTCCCATTCCACCGGTTATAATTTGAGGAATCAAATAGTAGGACATAGTACTAGTTTTTCGGAAGCACAATTTCTTTGTTTCGGGAATGGAAAACAGACGGATTTCTCCCTTTCTCATTAATGAGATCTACCCAACGAATCCCCCAACCACCCAAAATCCATTTACTAAACCCCATCTGCCAAAACAAAATCCCAAAGGCCCAAACCCTATTACCCCAAACCCTTTCCCCTCCATCTCATCTCCCAGCCGCCACACATCTCTTCCACTCCACCTCCATTCTCGTCAACCAGACCTCCCCTGCTCGCCGTCGATCCGGGCTTCAGCCTGCGTTTCCGTCAACCCGGCCTTTAGCTCCCTACTCGCCGCCTTGTCCTGCCCTTTAGTCCCCGCTCGCCGTCGACCCGACCTCCCTCGCTCGCTGTCAACCTGACCTTCAGTTCCCAGCTCCCTGCTCGCCGCCTTATCCTCGTCCAAGTTGCTATCCCCTGTGCCTCTTCTCGTTGCCGTTGCATCTGGTGAGTTTCTTATTCTGGGTATGATTTGAAGAGTGTGGATTTATCCTCCTCGTCACTATTTGAGCACTCTTCGGATTTCTTCTTCCTTTTGCCCACTCACATGCGATCCCTTATTCTTTGAAAAGCAGAGCACATAAATCTAATATATGAATCCCTGATTAACCCATGCATGTCCTCTCTTCACTGCTGAATCTTTGTTGGTGTGTTGGTGTTTGATTACTTTTATTGTTGTATATCTAATATGAGTGACTTGTGTAACTAGTTCTTATCATGTACAATAATGATGCCCAAAACAAGAATGATTATGTAATGGCGGAAGGAAATGAAGTATGGCCCTATGAGGTCAAGTTCTATCTTATTGATCTGATGGTGGAAGAAGTGAAGAATGGAAATAGAACTACCACTACTTTTTCAAAGGTAAGCTGGGCAAACATAATAAATGGATTGAAAAACAAGTTTAGGAAGGTTTGGAATGAAGATCAATTAAAGAACCAGTTTAATCAGATGAGGAGAAAGCACAGGGTTTTCACGACAATCATTAGTGAGACTGGAGTTAGTTACATTATGACAACAGGGAAGATCTATGGCTCTGATGAACGTTGGGAAAGATGGGTAAAGGTAATTGGCTCTCTGTCTATTGTGAAATTTTGTATGTTTATTATTTTAAACTTTGAATTGATTCATTTTTTTTTTTTGTAGTTGGATAGAGTGGTTGGAAGCATTAGGAAGTATGGTTGCCCCGAGTATCCAAAACTTTGCCTTGTCTATAGGGATACTACCGCTACTGGAAACGATGCACTACCTTCTACATAGGAGATTATAGGCAGCATCAGTGAGGATCATAGCAAGGAGAAAGTTTTTGAAAGTAATATGGATAAGACAACTGAACTTGCAAAGGAATTGAAGGGCAAAGCAAAGTCTAAAGGGAAAAAGAGAAAAACAGTTAGATCAACCTTCTCTTCTACCATAGAGAAGGCAATAGTTGACATGGCTGATTTGGCAAAAATGAAGAATGAGATGCATATGGCTTCTCAAGCCAACTCTTCTATTAGAGGTCCAGTGAATGAAGTAACTTTACCAGATAAGGATTTAGATATCATGACTGAATGCATGAAGGTTTTAGATGATTTGGATGTGGATGCTTATATTTTTGTGAAGGCTTTAAATATTTTACATGACCAGCCATTAAAAAGAGGGCTTTTCTTACGCATGACGGATAAGAGAAGGATGGAGTGGTTAGGAAGTTTGGTTTGATGTTTGCTGACGTTTGCTTGAAAAGAGGGCTTCTCTTGATGATGATGTGTTTTAGAGTTCAAGTTTGAGTTTTTATGTTTATTGTATGTTTTATGGAGGTTTGTTTATTTCATGTATCTGTGGCCATTTTATGGTTACTAAACAGGGTTATGTGAGCTTGTATTTTGCATTAAGTTTGTTTAAGTGTTTGTTTGATCAAGTATTATGTATTTGAAGTTTGTTTGTGCATTTTTTGATTCGAATATATTATCTATGCAGAAACGGAATGGCAAGTTCTGATACAGATTCTGATGATGAGATGCATAGAAATCTGATAATATATTTGGCATTGTTAGAGAATGAGAGATTGAATTTGCCTAAAGAACCATGCAGAAACTCAAAATTTCCAGGACATCAATGGGTTCAAGAACTTTTGTGTGGTCATCCGATTAGGATATATGAAGAACAACGTACTGATAAAGAAACATTTATTGCTTTATGCGATGAATTGAAACAACAAGGATTGCTGGAATCTACCAAGAGAGTCATTGTTGAAGAACAAGTGGCAATCTTCCTACGAACTTTAGGTCATGCCATTGACTTTCGAGATGGTGCTGAAAGGTTTCAGCACTCTACAACCACCATCTCTAAGTACTTCGGTAAAGTATTGAAAGCAGTGGTGAAGCATTCAAACAAGTACATTGTTCCCCCAAATTTCGATAAAGTTCATGAAAAAATAGTTGGTTCAAAATATGAACCATATTTCGAGGTAAATTAAGTTACTTTCCTTTATAGTTGGTTCAACAATTTTATATCATGTTCATCTAACATTATCTATTTTGTAACTTAGAGCTGCATTGGGGCAATAGATAGAGTGCATATTGATGCATCTATTCCTACCAGCGAGCAAATACCATTCCGAGGGAGAAATACAACAATTACTCAGAATGTGATGGATGCTTGTTCTTTTGACATGCTTTTCACCTATGTAATGACAGGGTGGGAGGGCACGACAAATGATTCTAGGATTCTTGCTGAAATAGGTTCTAATCCAGTGAATAAATTTCCAATGCCGCCGCGAGGTATGTAATGAATAATTTTTATATCTATCTTGATCGCAACTTTAGTGGATAACTAATTGACTTCTAAAATTTTTCCAGGTAAATATTATGTTGTTGATTTTGGATATTCAAACATGCCTGGATTTTTAGCACCCTACCGGAGAAGAGAATCTTCTCATTTCCAAGAGATTAACCGTGCAGGTGGCCCAAAAAATCGTAAACAATTGTTTAACTTTTACCATTCGTCCCCACGCAACGTTATTGAACGTTGTTTTGGAGTTTTGAAAGCTAGGTTTCCAATTCTAAAACATATGCCTAACTTCCCATTCAAGAAGCAAGCGCAAATTGTTATAGCTACTTGTGTGCTACATAACTTCATCAAGATCCATTGTGATGAAGACGTCTTATTTCACAAATACCAACAGTGTGATGTAGAAGTCCAGGGAGTACAACAAACTGAAGTGTATGATGTCAGTTCAACTCAAACTCGGGCAATGGAAATTCGACGTGATGAAATAGCAGACAAGTTGTGGAATGACTTTCAAGCATGAGTTATTTGATGTTTTCACTTATTTGTATTTGTTATTTTAGTTGTACTTCTTAAAATATTTGGTTGATGTAGTAGTATTTTATTTATTTGTTTATAACACGATTGCCAATGAAAACAGAAATTAGTTTGTAATAACTGTATCTAAACAAGTTTTCATTTTCAGGTTTCAGTTTCAGAATTCTCTAAATTCTTAGCTAAACAAGTTTTCTTCAGGTTTTGTTTCCTAGGAAATGGCATATTCCTTTTCTGTTGTCTAGAAAACAAAAAACACAATGAATATTAAACGGGGCATAAATGTATCTTATAGAAAGAGCTTCTTCAACCAAGTACGAAAGGTATTTTACCTGAGATTATTATATCTTATAGAAAATGATTAATAGTGAAATCGAAACTCAAGTAATATTGGTTGAAACATCAAACATTAAATTGTAAGTATGATTCTATTTAGAAAAATACATATGTGTAGCTAAAACATGGACCCTTGTGACAAATATAGTAAGTTTTTGTGACAATCTAAGATAATATTAAGATAAATTGGGCGCAATGACGAAAAAAGCTTCCTAGGATCACTCTAAGGCCAGGAAATTTGAAATGAGACTCTTATTTTCCAATTTTGTCATTATATTATGTGTATGTTTGATATAAAAAATGAATATACTCGTCATAAAGGCCCATGTATCGGTTACACTTCTGTGATTTGTCTAAACTACACATACAATTTAATATTAATGTTTGAATCAATGTTACTTGAGTTACGATTTCAGAACTAATATCGTTCTACAAAATATAAATAACTTAAGATAAAATATAAATATAGAAGCATAATCACCAAACATATTTCTAGAGTTTAATCAAAGAAGGGTAAATACAATATATTAGCCACAACTATTATGAAGCGGGGAATTATAACCACAACGATGGAAATTCAAATTATTAGCCAAACGTTAAATATCTGTTAATAATTTCGGCAGTAATACTAACTAAACTTTTATGTTTTAAAGTTATAAATTAAATGCAGTCTGACGTGGTTGCTTCCGTGGCCGATGATGTGGCCTTTTCCGTCAAAATTCAATAACAGTAACGGACAGTTAGCCATATCTTGAACCGCAACAATAGTGATGGCTAATCATTTGAATTTTCATAGTTGTGGCTTTAATTCCTCGCTTCATAATAGTTGTGGCTGATATATTGTATTTACCCATAAAAGAAATAACAATAAGACAAAGTAGCATAGTTGGTTATAATGCTCTTTCTAATTTAATTGACCAAGGTTGGAACTCCAATGAAGACGGTTTTTCTATACATAGATGAACTGTGTGCAATGACAAAAATGACTTTCCTAGAATCACTCTCAGGCCATGAAATTTGAAATGGGAGAATTCCAACCAATGTTTTGCCTTTATATATCTTGTAGAAGTGTTTACTTTCATTTGTCACGTAGTGTTACTATCGTTTTCATCTCATATATTGTAGTAGATTAAAGAAGTCAAGTGCTGAAACTTCTGACCTTCTAATTGAGAAATTGAAAGAACTTCCTTTTTTTTTACAGTATTGAAAGAATTTCTTGATACAAACTGTGCAACAAGTATTTGGCATAAACGGCGTTTTGTAACTAAAAGAATGTCACCATAACATAGACTTTTTGGTCGACCTAATACTAATAGAGGTCGACAGAATTCACTAATTTGGGCACCCCGAGGACTCAACGCGGTCGACCTCAAAGATCATATGATCGACCTTTTGTAGTTTAAGTTGTTATTTTTGGTCGGCCACAATAAAATCTCAGTCTCCCTTTTCATTGGCGTCAGAAGAAAAATGGTCGACCGTAAAGGTATATAGGTCGACCACTTGATGGCGGTCATTAACAAAATGGTCGACCATTTACAGAAAGTGGCGGACCAGATAGAAGAGAAGTGTTGTATCCATTTATCCATCATCATTTGACGTAAAATGAAGATCGTGTTGGTTTCGCTGTCGACCCAATCTGGTACGAGGTCGACCGAATATATGTAAATCAACCTATGCCCTGCGCCTTTTTTTGCTTATGTATGTCGATTTGGGTGGTTCTTTTGCTCATACAAATTACGTTTCAAACCAACAGAATCAGTCATAAATAATGATAACAAGGATTCATAATTGTTCACACATAACTAAAATCATAATTGTTCACACATAACTAAAATATAAAACCACAGAATATCAATCAACAATCGTTTTTAACACTTAACAATAAAAATACATAATCTTAAATCGTCGAGTTCCTACTCCTATCCCCTCTCTCCCTCATCCACATTTTTTTCATTGGTGTTGCTAGCATTATGGTAGTCGGATTTGGTGGGATCCATGTATCTTCCATTGAAATATCGAAACTCATCTCGCATGAAACCTGCACTGTGCTCATCTGGGTGGTCATTTGCCCCATGTAGTCGTACATGCCAGTCATCTGGGTGCAAATCTGGCCCATGTAGTTGTACATGCCATCCATGCGCTCCCACATACGTTCTAAGGTGACCGGTGGAGTTCAACTCTGTGCCTGCGACATCGGCTCGTCTCCGGCTCCTTCATCAGCATCACCAGCATAGACAAAACAGAACAACGATAGGTCGACCTCTAAACATCATTGGTCGACCTCTGTTTGCAAGCAGAATCAATAACCCCCACATTTACGTTAATCGATGATACAAAAAAAATAGGTCGACCTAAAAAACATCATAGGTCGACCTAATAAACACCATAGGTCGAACTTAGTTAATCAAGCACAAATATGGGTCTAAGAAGGCCAAAACTCGTCAAAACATCATAGATCAACCTCAAAAACAGTAACGGTCGACCTCAGTTAATCAAAACGAGATGGGTCGAAGCAAGCCCGTAACATTTGGAGTAAAAACATCATAGGTCGATCTTAGTTAAACAAGCAAAAAATGGGTCAAAGAAGATTCCTCCGAAGATCTCTACGTCGAACGCTAAACCCTTTCGCTTTAGCATAGGCATCATAAAATTTCTCTGCATCTTCTAATGTTTGGAACTCCATGGAAGGAATTTGTTGTTCGTATTCAGTAGCTTCTTCATCATCCATAAATTTTTCTTCAGCACCCTTCGTTTCCTCATCGTTCCCAATCACTTCGTCATCTGTATCATCTGGATTATCCATAGATCCTCCTTGAGCATCCTTAGGTTCCTCATCAAAGTTAATCTTGTCAGCATCTCTATCATCTCTATCATCTCTATTATCCATCATGCAATGATCGGAATACGAATTGTATGTTAAATAAAATCAAAATTAGGTCTCGTCAGGTCACTTGGATTAACTGTACGGTCGACCTTATCACCATATTACATAGCTGAGGTCGACCTGGATCCACTGTATAGTCGACCTTATCACAGATTTATACAAATGCGGTCGACCTAGTTAGGAAAAAAGTGAACCACAGAGAACCATTAACCAGCACACAGAACTCATCGAAGCATACCTTAGTAAACAAGGCCGACCACTTAGTTATAAGGTCGTCCAGAGTAAGAATAAACCGCCACCAACACACGATTACAATAAGAGCGATGAGATTACAACTTCACTCCAACAAATTGCATAAATCGAGGTACGAATAAAGTCTTAAGACTTCCATATATTTATAGAGAATGTAAACGAATTCATTATCCTTACTAGTATGGGGAACACTTAGCCCAATTGGTCAATGATACATAAAATCATAATTCGACAAGGAAAAGTATGCAAAATCCTAATTGAACAAGGAGAAGTAAGTAATAAGCTAATTCGACCCATTTAGGTCGACCTCTTTACACGAATGGTCGACCGTTTTTTATAAAGGCGAAATAGAGAGGACTCAATCCTTATTTCACATTGTTTAGGAGCTAACTAAAGGTATCATAGGTCAACCTTAAGCATACGAGGTCGACCTGTGCTCTGCCTACGTGGTTGACCGCTTTGATTATGTGGTCGACCTCTTGTTCTAGACGATTGAAATCGTAAATTCCTTGACATCCATAATTGTATAACAAATCTAATAAACGGAAAAAAAACATTCAATATACAAAAGGAAACAACCTCGCAAGTATAAATTCAACGTATTGTCTAAGTAATGCAACATTTTAACTTAATGACTTCATTTCTTTGCTTTTTTGTTTGAACTCTTTATCTCTTTGCCTCGTTCCATGCATTAATCTACTACATGTTTGAAAAGATTTTCTCGTGCATGGTTTTTAAAATGTGTAGCCAGATACCATAGAATCTCCTTTCGAGTCGGTAATTTGTGTTCTTCTCCTATCTGCATTATGGCATATAAGACGTCGTTAGAACTAAAAAAAATACAAATTAAACAAGTTGTTTGTTTGACGATATACTAACCAATCTATCCAGATCCTTGGATCAATACCGCATCCACTACATCATGTGCACACCACACTCAGTACTATTCCTTTGCCCTTGAACGCGTAGCTCTTAGAAATTGAAATTTCCAAAATTTGGTACTGTTACGTTGCTCATGCACTCCAGTTTGAAAATATCATGCAATTTGGACAAGTACACACAAATAACGAATATTATATGCTTCTAGCATAATACGTGACACTTAGTAGTCAGAAAATTATAGTAAACACTTACCAATTTCTTGCGGAGGTTTGATTTACGCTTACGATTCGCCTCACTAGTTGAAGGTAGACTGTCAAGCAAAAATGAAGTTTTTTGCTGGACATTGACGAGATACAGAAACCAATGACGTGCTTCATCATCCAGAACTGGCATAAATATCTAGCAACGAAAGACTCACTATATGTTATGAAAAGCGAATACAAACAAATGCACTTTGGGAGTTTAATGAGATAGGGACATTGACTAACCTTCTGGCATGCACTAACATTCGGCATAAACACCACGCCATCATCCATCAACTTGTTACGAATTTGTTCGGTCTTCATGTTAGCTCGTACCATTTTCTGCACAATATTTAATTGAGATTAATTGACATGGTACAATATTAATAACTAGGTTATGAAAAATAAATAAACATTATGGCTATTACCGAAAACATATTTGGCAAATACCACACATTTGGCTCTTTCACCTCATATTTTTCAGACATTGTTAGTGCCCTTGCGGATGAGCAAATCCAGCTACTCTCGCTAATCCAGCTATCTAAATTGTGACCAAACTCTCGCTAATCCAGCTACTTACGGATGAGCAAATTCAACTACTCTCGCTAATGACCAAACTCAAATATTTTCGTTGCACGTTTTCAGTAAAAAAGTCAACAACGGTCAAACTGCAAAAACCAAAATAACAGAAATGTAAATTGTGATTTGAAAAGTACAGGTCTACCTATTCACAATCAAGGTCAACCTCATTGGCTAAACGGTCGACCACATTTACTACTAAAAAAACGTCCCTTACTTGTCCCAATCTGTGTCTCCTGTCTTCTCTTTAGTAACAACATAAAACAAGTCTTCAACTTGATTTTGCAGATTTTTTGTGAATCCTTCTAGGACCTCAACTTTCATCACCTACAAATCATAGTTAAAATTAAAGTTACATATGAACACAAACACACATTATAGATGAATATGTAACGTAAACTTACTCTGTGCTTTTCAAAAGGACTCTTAGATTCATCTTCATCTCTATCAACACTAAATAATCCTTTTTTTACTAAATGATCCTTCTGTGGAGTGATGCAGGAGTCACTTTCACATCGAGGTCTCTTGTACTTAGGAGAGGAACCTTTGCTACCAAACGTTGTTTCACTCTGACAAACATATAAACAAAACAAATTAGCACTAATGATAGTTATACTAATATCTTCACTCACATATGAATATACTTGTCTACTTTTAACTTGTGCTCTTTCAATAAATCGTCTATCCTCTGGTAGAAATTTGTAGAGTCATCATCCTACATTCTCTTCCTCCTCTTCATCAAAATCAAATCTATTTATTCTACCATCTCTTCCTCCATTCTCCATTCGTTCTGCACTTATTTCTTTGATAGCACCTTCTAGCCTCTCAAAACCATCATGCATCATCTCGGTCATATCTGTCAATCGAACTGACAATTGCTCCACTGTATCATGAATGGACTTCTGATAGTCATTGAATTGTTTTTGGCACACCACCAGTTGCTCTTGTGTGGCTTTCAACACTTTCATGATTTCACCCAAATCGTGATGTTGTCTCTCATCATGTGCCATTGTCTAAACAATTTAAAGAAAAATTCAAATCATAATTCAACGTCAATTTTCTACAATTGACCAAAAACAGAGACATGGTTGACCTGACATATTATTGGGTCGACCTTGAAGACAATTTGTCACTACCAGAACCATTTAGGCTGACCTTTGCTCTTCGTAGGTCGACCTATCTAGCATGAAAATACCAATTTACCAACAAAAGCAAGTGTAATATTACCACGAATAACAGATAAGTGGACCAGACAGGTTGAGCGGCCGACATTTTAAGCACAACATAGTCTTACAAACAAAGCCAAAGTCGAGATTCAGGATAAACAACCAAAACAAACAGGAACGATCGACCTTGAACAACATTAGGTCGACCTATTAGGTTGATCTTCCTTGCCTCGCGAGTACATAAGTCCTAGTATTGTGCCCCAAATTCAATTTCGAACAATTGTCAAACAGAGTTCGACCTTATTGAGATAAGGGTCGACCGAATGGTATTCTGGATGCAACAATACATCAAATTAGACGGTGGAAATTACGCATTAGACAAGATGACGACGAATGCTACATTAGGTCGACCTCACCTTCGACGTGGTCGACCTCTTGCAACACGTACAACAGCAACCGGGAACGACCTTCTTCACAAAGGCTCTAACCTAAAAAAAACCTAATTCAAAGTTTCGGTGGCGGTGAAGGTGACATATATTCTTATTTATAGATATTTAGAACGTGAATGGGTCGAATTAAGTGGTAGATAAGTTAGGGTTACCTTTCTGGTATTGGAATCCTTATCCAATACGGATACGGTGTGCACGAGGTCGACCTCGTACTTATGTGGTCGACCTATTAAATGCAAAATGGTCGGCCTATGAGGTATTTAGGTTGAGCTTTTATTCTGCTCGCTTCCCAAAGAGGTCGACCATTTGCTATAGACGATCAACTGCGTCGTTGAATCTCATAAAACTGAAACAACAGATTAGATCGACCTAATCCTATATTAAAACCGAAAAGTATATGTTACGGTAACATGCATGTCACCGTAGCAAAGTCCTTATTTTTTATATGATTAAAATATTTGATTGAAGTAATGATGAGTGGTTGATGGGATTGCATGATTCATAAGATTAGATAATAAATAGTGCCTATTTCATTTAAAGGGTTCAGTGGGATGTGGGCGAATTTACCGTATGCTCCCTACAGCCACGCGAATCACCGTTGATTCTTTTCAACTTTAGATCTCAACTATCGATTATGTTTTCCCCTTCCGTCTCCTCTTACTCTATCCCCTGGCGGCTGCCGAAGTTTGATCGATCGAAAGGAGCAGAGGAATTGGATCCGAGGAAAGGGATTCCGGGACTTCCCTTGATCCGTTGTTACTCGATCCCTCTTCTCCTCTTCTTCCCTTTGAAATCCGTTGAAGAGGAAATCTAAACCCCTTGGAAAATCCCTAGGTGATGAAAAACCAAACCTGAGATTTGCAATGGTGGCGTGCGTCGTTGGCGTGATTTATTTGATAGAGCGGTGGATAGATCTGAAGATGGGGAATAGTGGCTACTCAGCTTCGGAGCTCGCTAGCATGGGATTCCTCCGTGGAAACTCTTCCTCAGGGATTGCTAGCAGAGAAACATCGATCACGGAAGAGTTATCTTCCATTGATGACGCTACAGAGCAAAGTCGGGGACTATCTTTGACCGGATAGAGTCGTCATGGTGAATCTAAAAAGCTCATCCTCTTCCTTCCCTATGTTTGACAAGGTAAACATGTCTCTGTTATGTTGTCTCCCATTCGAATTTTGTAGTTCCATCTGTAAATGCTTTGTTTGTGAATTAGTTGCTGGAAATGATTTAAAAGATTAAAGCTTCGTATAATGCCTCTAAAGCTTGGTGCTAAATTACGTCCCCATTTGTCCAATTGCTTTGTTTGATGTAGTAGTTGTATCAGTTTGGTTTCAAAATTGATATGGATATTAGGAATCAAGTTGTTCACTTATGTTGGTGGTCAGCAGCCGTAATGGGCTGCAATGCTGTTATTGCTGTACATTTAACTTTCTTCGTAGCATGATACCACTTCTGTAGTACATGGATTTGGTTTAATTTCTTTGGGAGTAATGTATGGTCTCATAATCATGGGTGTCTTTAGTTAATCTTCTAGGTAGGGTTCTGGTAATCACTTAGGTTAGGTTGCATTTGTTTATGATTGCCCTTACCATCATTTTGTTTTTCTTTGGGATGGTTTTCTGTAGTTAAGTTCCATTAAAACAAAGTATCTTTTGATTGGTGTTTCATAGGGAATGGAAGGATCATATCACGTTTACAAAGATTTCAGATTAACATCTCTGATTTTGTCATTGATGATTCGTGTTTGAACGAAACAACTACAAAATCATAAGTTTTTGATCTTTCATATGGTTGATTCATTCATTGGTGAAATTAAAGAGTGCGATAAGAGATGAAATTTGATACAAATAGCTTCAACTGACACAAACATAACTTTAACGTTTGTTTATCATCCAGTGAGTCAATTAAGTCTGCCTTTGTACCAAACTACAATGATATGATCCAGCCATAAGCCACTTTATTGTTCCTATTTGTGCTTGATAAATGATAACCTCTCAAATAAGTGCTCTGTATATAGTTTGTCTATTGCTGGTTTTGTAATAATCATGAAAAGGGTCAAGCTTGGGCTTCTGAAATTGCAGTATATTTCTTAAACCAGGTGCATTGCCTTGGTCATATATAAGATGAATTGTAAAATAGAAGAAGACTTAACATGATATTTGTAAATTTGCATGCATTGAAAATACTCTGTGGAAGCATAATAATGTGGTATACATCAAAATTAGGCAGTATTATTCATGCTTAATTTTAGTGACAATGACCGAGTTTCCTTGCTCAGGTTTGATCTTTTGTTGTTTTAACTTTTAAGTGCATGGTTTTGGACTTTTGGTCCATCAACCATACAGAGAACGGTAGCTTCACAGTTGGGGTTGGATTCTTCACTTTGTTGGGAATTGGTTCTTGGTGGATTTGATTGAGAAGAAAGTCGACTCGACTGCTTGCCGGAATGTAGAGATCTAGAAATGAGGAAGGGAGATTTTGCAGTCACCAGTAGACTGTTCGACAGGCCTGGTATTTGATGGAGAAGATTACAAAATGATGGGTCAGTCGAATGTATTGAGTTTGATTTATTATTTAGTTTGTTCTTGAATCAGACATTTGCTACTTGAGTTTGTTCTTTCAATTCAAGGATTGTCATAAAAAAGGGATGAAAAGGAAGGCGGCCGCCTCATTAATGAAAACATGGTGATAAAGTTCTGTGATACGCTGGAATTCTATGGTCTTATGGACTGCGACTTTGAGGGATACTCCTACACTTGGGACAATGGCCGAGGGGGTTCCAGCTTCATAGAAGAAAGACTGGATAGATGTTTGGCAACCTAGGACTGGCAATTACAGTTTCCTAATCACAAAGTCATTCACCTGGACAGGTGTGGTTCGGATCACTATCCTATACTTATGATCACGAAGGATAATGTTAAACTGACACAATTACACAATAGTTCATGGTCATTGCAGGATTTCACAATTAATTTTAAGGTTAAGTAAATAGGTTGATAGTATAAGTGTGGTACACTTGGGGTTTGGACGAACTGATGCATTAATGGTGTTGTTGAAAGTTTAGTTCAGTTTTTGTTCAATGGAGGCTTTTAAGCCAATAAAAGAGTTACATTATAGGAGAGCCCAAGTATAAACAAAACTATTAACACTGGACTAAAACACTTCAACTCACTTCGACCAATGCAACAAGTTCTAATTGTAATCGTGAACTTGGAGCCTCCCATCGCAAAAGTCAGCAAGTAATGAATGATGTAAATCAAACCGTTGCCTACATGTCAACTACAAAGCGCCGGCTAAATATCTATGTTCTTTATTAATGAAGTATCACTTCCCCCAATAGCATGTGGTATAATGAATCAGGACATATCATTCATTGTAATTAAGCTCACAATTAACTTTTGCCAAGTCTTCATACTACACTTTCCAAATTGGATAGAAATTTCAAACGATGTTGGTTATTTGGAGTTACTTATGCTGTTAGTGTTGTGCATGTCAACACTAGACAATTTTGAGAAAACTATTGTGAAAGAAAGTAAGAAACCATCGAAATGATTGTAGATATATAGGGCATAAAACAATTCCTACGGTCAAAGATCACATTGTATGGTTGTAAATCCAACTATTTACTTCAAAATCATATCCAATTTCCTAAAGGCTAATGAAATTAATTAAGAAGTTAATTATGATCCTAAGTACATCCAGTTCAAGGTAATGTAGGATTCCACTCATATCACTAATGACGCGTAACTCAATTTAAGATATATTCTTCTGATTGTTAATCCATTTTCTTTTAAGAACCCGCCGCGGAGCGCTGGCCAATTTTCTAGTTGTAATAAATAATAGTTGATCAGTTAGACGTTCCGTGAAAAGGTAAAAAAAAAAAGAAACCCAAGTCATGTGCGTGAATACAAACTCATTTATACGAATAATTGATAAACTTACCTGAAAAAGTAGACTATATTGTGCTACTTTTCTATGACACACATTGTTCTAAGAAAGATCATCATTATGATATAGCACAATCTCTTTAATAATTTGTTGCTAGAAAACTTTTCTGAAATGGAGCATGAATCTACAGAAAATTGAAAACTCAACGGTGCATATGTCCGCCAAAAACATCATACGTACATGGCCTAGTATCTAACAATCAGAATAAAACAAAGAAATCTCATGCAGAGAAGCAACAATACAAATTTTGAAAAACAAAATCCATATATATAAAATAAAAAAGAATAACCACTAATTACACCGGTTCCATCACTTAGAATCCCCGCCCATTAACGGTAAATACTGCTTAATGACGCGGCAGACGTGATTAATTCAATTTATTAATCCAAAGTGTAATTAGAGATTATTCTCCCTGTACCAAATTAAGTGCAATCACACACATTAAGTCCGTGATCCCTTTTTCATATGTACATGACATCATTCCCGTTGAGCTGGAACTCGCTACAGAACTCGACGAACTGATAATTATTCGCGTCGGCGGCCGAGCTCTGATCGTCGAAGCTGAACTGCGACGAGAAAACGTCGCTGGCAGATCCGTCGCTCACCGTCGCAGTCATCGAGTTCTGCCCGCCGCTTGTCCCCTGCTGAAACAACGGGTACCCATGAAACAAACCGTTATTATTATCACCTACAAACAACCCGCTGACGTCAGGTCCGAAATCAGCACTCCCGCCGGCGAACCCCTTAGTATTGCTGCAACCCACCAACGGCGCTGCCGACGTGGCCGCGAAGCTGTCCAGAGATAGCCACTCGGCGAACATGAGCTTCGGCAGAGCAGGACTTGGTCCGTTGATCTCTTGGTGATGACGGTTGCTGTAACTTTGCGGGTCCCACTGGTCGGCGGTGGACGGCGGCAGTGAGTTTTGACGGAAGTGCGATGCCGGAATAAGTGTGGGTTTGTCCGGAGATGGGGAAGAATAATGGTCGGTGATTGACGAGCTGGAACAGTATTGCTGGATTTTGCGATGCGGCGTCGTTTCGGGTGGCGTTGATGACGCGTTTTCTTTGAGGACCTTTTTCTTAAGGTATGAGTGCCAATGATTTTTAATCTCGTTGTCTGTTCTTCCAGGCAGATGTTGTGAGATTTGGGACCATCTAGAAAGAAATAAATTAATAAAAATATACTTATTTATTCACATGTGAATATGTGATAATAGCAAAACCAAATGATCCAAAGTCAGAATAAGTCGAGTTTTTTGTGATAATAGTAAAACCAAATGATCCAAAGTCAGAATAAGTCGAGTTTTTTCATTCATCTTGAACGTAATTGTTCTACCAGCAAGTTGTTACGAGAACTTTCTTTGTAAACAAGTGACATGTTGACTTCAAGATTCGAGTCTAGAGAGCTTACTTGTTGCCGAGTTGGCGATGGAGGGCGATGATTGTATCCTCTTCATGGGAGGAAAACAAGCCACGTTTGAGCCCTGGCCTTAGGTAATTAATCCATCTCAGCCTGCAACTCTTCCCATTCCTCTGGAGCCCTGCGTGATTAATCAATTACCACACAAATAATTAGTTATTAAACTTGTTTAGTTTTGATGATGATTTTTCTTTTATCTAAAGTCAACTTAAGCCGGGACTTATTCAGTAGTACGTTGGTGATAAATAATAAGTACATTACATAATCAACAATAATAAGTCGTTATCTCTGTCCCTCCTCTATTAGATATCTCCACATCCATCATGATTACTTACTCCACAAGCCAATTGACAATAAAGAAATCCCCCCCATTTCATAATTAATATTAACCAAAGGATGATTTTGACACTAAAAAGGTAATCCACGTTGTTTTGTCATCAGAAACCAAGCTTAGCATAGAAGATAGTAGTACTATTACTGCATAGAAAATGTAGAGTAAATAAAATAAAATAAAATGAGGTTTTCACAAGAAGTCGTGACAACTCAAGATTGTATAAATAGAGTGCATCGATAGAATTCTGATAACGCTAACACTAATATGAAAAAACATCTAACTTCTACGATTCTTATAAGGAATATAACTATGTCAAATTACATAACAATACTCGTAATATAACGTAGTACTACTAGTACGACGCATGCTCTGGATTATAAGTCCGGCGATTAGAAAATGATACATTTTGATCTTTACCCAGTTAACTAGTTAACGAAGTTTGAGACAATGTTAATGCTTCCTTATATTATGTCTGGGTTTTAGAGGTAGAGAGATAGATGGATGAAGTGACTGACCGGCGTTGATGGGGACGGTGCTCCAGCAGCCGTGGCCGTGCTTGACGATGTAGCTGCGGAGGCGCTGGTCTTCCTCCGGCGACCATAACCCCTTCTTGTGCTTCAGCTTCGGCTTCTGCTCTTGAGATTTGCTTCCCATTTTCATTGAACCTCCCCCAAGAAAATGGAATGCAGAGAGAGAGAGAGAGAGAGAGAGAGAGAGAGAATCAAGGGTTTAGTTGTTCAATTCAATTATCTCTAATGGGTTGGCATAATTCAATGATGAGACCGACCATATATATAAAGAGTCTACTAGTTTGTAATCCTATATTATATTTAACAACAATCACAATTATAATTTTGGTCATATTTGGACTTGCTCCTAAAAATGATAAATACTAAAGCTGCTGTCTTGGAAAGTTGGTTGCAATATAATAAGGTTAGGTTAGTTATTGTATTTTTCTATTACTAGGTTTAGTTTATTTTTTTTAACTTTTTTTCCCCTCTTCATTTGTATAAACAAAGGGGCAATCAGTTTAGTAGATGTAGAAATGTGAAAGTGGACAGAGATACATTATAAGCACAGAAGAAGGAGAATAACTTGAAGGTTTATTTAATAGTTGAGGATGCTTTCATGTCCATTTCAGAAACCATCTTAGGTCTTACGTTTTGTTAAAAAAAGACCCACGAGTAAACTTCAGTTCTTTGCTTAGATATATGTATAAGATCATTTGAGGGAGCTAGCAGAGTTGTGGAACCGATGAAGGTAATTAGAACTCAAGTTTTGGTGCTGCTGTAGGAAGATGAGGCTGCACAATACTGGGTTCCTTCGAGTTGGCTTCTTGATTTTGTTTTATTGACTCTATGGTGTATATATAGATATCGTTTTTGTTTGACTCATTGATTGTTTTTTTGTTCTCTCATTTGGGAATGTCTAACTGGAAAAGCTGTTTCCAACACCCTTTCTTTTCACAGAATGGAAATGAGTTCGGTTCATTAAAAAAAAAAACTACGAGTAAACTTAAGTTCTTTTCAGGTTAAACAATTATTTCATTAGTCCCAAAATGGTTAACCCGAGTTAAAATTTAAGATAAATACAAAGATATGAAGTTTATGTTAATTTCTACAGGTTTGGATTTGCCTTCATTCCTTGTTACAAGCGGAATGCCCGAAACTACTATTCATGCTTTTCAATGAATGATGTGTAGATAGTGCCTATATTTGACCCGATTTTTAAAAGTGTTTTTCGGTTTCAAAAGCTAAAGCAGGGCCAAACACCTCTAAAAGCTCGGCTTTTCAAAAGTCGAAACGCGCTTTTGTATAACATAAAAGCAGAAGCTCCGATTTGGAGCTTCTGCGAAAAGCTGTTTTGAAAATACAAGATTATCCTTACCATATTTTAATTTTATTTCAGAAAATATAACTTTCGTTTATTTACATCATTTTAAAAATAAAATAAATTATAAAATCATGTTATTTCATATAAAAGAAATCTAACAAGATCCATTTTGACTACTTTTTATTGTTTAGAATTTTTATTTTTATTTTATATTATAAATTCTTTATAGTCATTTTACACAACCGCTCATATTAAAAAGCACTTCTAATAGTTTTACAGCCAAACACTAAACTGCTTTTTTTGAAAAATCCTTATCTAAAAGTTCCAGCCAGAAGCTGCTTCTGCAAAAGTTATAGCAGGCCCAATGATGACTCGCCCAAAAAAGGAATAACTACATTAGAAGGTAAGTTCCAAAAAGAACATAGCTTTATAAAGACGACGAAGAGAATACAATTAAACTTCACATCTTGAGTCTCTTCCTCATTGAGACTTACACACCACTTGTAATTAAATGAATTGGGAATTCATTTGATTTTAAAATGAATTCCTATATTTAGACTACTATATTCTAAATTTTAGAAATTAATTAAATTAAATTTTCAAATCATGTTTGAAATACGTTCAGAATTATATTAAATTAAAAATTTGTACCATTATGAAATTACAGCAAAAACAACATTGCTACTAATTAAAAATCTATCTTCTGAAAGTACAAGTGCTAAAGTTATCATCCGACCAAGCAAAAAAGAAAGTTCCTAAAAAATATTAAACAATTTGAAGATCCACATTCTAAAAACATTCATTGTAAACATATTTTCACTTGAGCCAAGATGGATCAATCTCCTCATTGTTATATATTAGGTTAAGCGGCGGTTGAGCGAAGAAGATTACGCGTGCAAATATTGAGTATTGGGGCCAAATTATATATCAGGGTAATTTAATTTATAATTGATGATAATTATATTATTTTATTATAATTATCAAAATAGTTGTGAAATTCATTTAGAAATTCCACCTTCATTCCTCCGAATTGCGAAAACTAACCTCAGTTTAGCATGATTTAAAATTTAAAATTTAAAATGAATTCTTTTATATTCCAAACAAAAAAAGATTCATTCAAAATTAATTCCTAAAAATTTAAGAATTTATTTTGTAAAGGTATTATATATACTAGGTGTCCCACTCATCACAGGAAAGCTTACAAGAGCTGAATGTCGTGTCTTTTTTTTTTCTTGAAAGATGTGTTCATTTAGATAAACGATTGGGCCAAGCCGACAAAGGGAAGTGTACAAGCAATCCAGTAGAAAAGACAGGAAAAGAAACCCAAAAAAAGAGGCCCAAAAGAAAAACCCGAGAGCTCAATAGGGTTCAGGCCCAGAGCCAAAACAAAACTGGGTCTCTCCCAAACCCTAACCACAATTTGCCCCTTCCGAAGCTCCTCCACTGCCGCGGCTGTGCTCCGCCCCACACCTGACCCGTCGCCGCCACCAACCCGAATCAAGCCAAGGAACATGCACCCATCCGACCCGGACGACGAGAAACGGAGGAGAACCACCACCAAACCTCCCTCCCCAAGCCGATTGTCGTGCCCATCCCGCCGAGCACCACGAGAACCAAACAAACCCGACGGCAGGTGGGGGAGACAGAGGGTTAGAATACACCAGTCTTCAAGCTCTTCCATCCGGGTCCTCGCCAAAGGCTGCATCTCCGGATCGCCAAGACCTGCAAGGAGAAACAAGGAGGTAGACCAGAGGAGAGGAGAGGAGAGGAGAAGACTAGCTGGATCTGAAATAGATCCGACCTCCATCGCATCTAGAACTGGACATGCATCTCCAGATCTGGAAACCAGATTGGAGGACAAACCGTCAACCCACAACGGGGGGGCAAAAAGAACCCAGCAAAGGGTGAAGAAAACGACCACAAAGTGGGGAAGACGAACAAAGACATGGCAGGAAAACAAAAACACAGAAAGTAAACAAGAGGAAAAGCAGCAAGAAGGCGGAAGAAAACGAACGATTAAAGGGAAAAGACAGAAAAAGAGGTTGAGGGCCGCCACCGGTCACCGGAGGTGCGCCGGCAACAGCCTCATGGATGCCACAATAAGAGAGAAAGCAGAGGAGTAGTTTTAGGATAGAGAAGGGGTTTTCTCTGCTGATCCTTTCATGTATCACCTAGCTGAATGTCGTGTCCTTGTGGAGAAACCCACTGCCAAAATATGTAGTTGGAGGGCAAAATCTTTAAGTTTTGCTGGTCGGTTGCAGCTCATTACATTAGTATTAACTAGTGTTCTGCAATTATGGATGGGCATCTTCCTTCTTCCTCAGTTTGTTATTAAGTAGGTGGAGTCTATCTATAGTAAGTTCCTTTTGGGATATCAATGATTCATCAATGGAGCACTTCTACTATGCTATATAGTATTGGTGCTTTAATGTACAACTTTAGATTGTACCATAACAATAAATGTATAAGTTTAGGTTGTACCATAAAGGAATTTGTACCATTATGTTATGGTACAACTTTACAACTTGAAGTTGTACCATCACATAAAGGTACAAGTTCAAGTTGTACCATAAAAGAATTTGCACAAAAAGTATAGGTACAATTTGAAGTTGTACCATAACGTTAAAGGTACAATTTCAAGTTGTACCATAAAGACAATAACTTATAGCACCAATACTATATAGCATTGTAAAATTCCTCTCATCAATGAGGTCGAGGGTTGTTGTTTCATGGGATTTTCTTGCTCGGCCAAAGAATGAAGGTGGACTTGGGATTCCAAATTTTGTGATATGGAACAAGGCTTGTGTTCTTAGACATCTCTGGGTGATACTTGTTGAGGAAGGTTCAATCTGGGTGTCCTTGGTTCGTTGTTATCGTGTCAAACATGCTTCAATTTGGGATATTAAGGCTTTTGTTGCAGGCTCCTGGATCTGGAAAAGGATTCTCCAATGTCGAGTGGTAGCTAGGCCTTTTGTCTCGCGATTGAGAGGAGGCTTGGCATGGGATGGGGAAGTAATGGCATCTTATTCTGTGAAGCGAGTCTGGAACTCTTTAAGACAGAGAAGTAACATTGTGCCCTGGGGCAGTCTTGTATGGGACAAAATGATTGTTTCTCGTCATTGTTTCATACTCTGGCTTCTAATTAATGATAGATTAAAGTTGTAGAATCGACTAATTTCCTGGGTTAAGCCACTCTCCAGTGTTTGCTTGCTATGTCCTGGAGGTTTGGAGACTAGGCATCACCTTTTTGTAACCTCCGCTTTCACAAAGAGCGTCCTTGATCAGGTTATGCAGGTTGCTGTTCCGCCAACTTTGGGAGATTGGCCAACAGTGTTGTAGTGGTGTATTTCTCGCTGGTGTGGTTCATCTACTACTGCGAGTTTAAATCGTTTATCATGGAGTGTAGTGCTTAGTTTGATCTGGCGGGAGCAGGAATGGCAATGGGGCAGATACGGGGCGGGTATCTCGATACCCATACCCACCCCATGGCAGGTCAAGTCCAGGTCGGGTAATTTATTACGGGGCGCGGGTCGGCGCAGGTCGACCCAATGGGTATGTAATTTAAGTAAAAAACATTAGAAATATTCGTTATTTTCATTAAAAGACCAAGAAAGAAACCATAATATGATAAAATCTAGTTAAATTGTCGAAGAAATTGAGGTTTTCACTTACTTACAACTTTATTGTAGCTAAAATATAATGTAATAAGAGGAGAATCCTAAGTAATTTGACTAAGATTATATGTAATTTAGGCAAGAACGGGTCGAGAATGGGGCGGGTCAGGGCAGGTCGGGTTGATGAGAGATACCCATGCCCGCCCCGCCTACGAGGCGGATCTGACCCGCCCCAAAACAAGCCAAACGGGTTGGGTAAATCGCGTCAGGTCGAAATTGTCATCCCTAGGCGGGAGCGGTGTTCTAGAATGTATGGCTCTGTTGGAGCAATGCCTCCTTCCCTGATTGCTGCACAGACGAAGTGGATCATTGAGTATCGTTGTCAATTGGACCAGAGCTTGCTAGATTGTTTCAATTCTAGGGGATTGGGATAGTTTTATTTCAGTTTGCTTCCTCACATCTATAGGAAGTATTATTGTACCGACTATGTTGGTTTGAGTAACGCCATAATTTTCTACTATTTGTTGCCTGTTTTTAATGAAATTTTAATCTAAGCATAAAAAAGGGAGAAACTTAAAATCAATAGGAAACAGTAAAAACTATAGAAAGAGAAATGAAAAAGCCTACAGTATCCGTTTATGGAACCCACTAAAAAACCTTTTAATGTATATATTGGAAATTGTCAGCACCTCACCTAATATATTATCTGCATGATTAGATAGATTCATTGAAACCAAAATTATAAACATGAAAAATTTAAAAGACAAAGCTTTACTATAATTGGTCGTTTTTGGTTTATTCTTTCTCAATTAATTATTAACATTAACAATAATATTATTATTGCATAACGCTCTCTAAGACTCTAACTAATGCTTTTTTTTCCTGCTAAACATATATATTTGAGATCCAGCTACTACACCACGGAAATCATTTTAGAGATTGGACGTGTACAAAGGACATCCCATGAATCCTAGTATAAAATGAAGACTTTTGAATTTTGATAAAATAATAATATACAATAAAACGTAATATTATAGAAAAATATAGACATTAATCAAAGTATTTGTTGCGTGTGTGTATATATATATATATATGAAGCATTCGAGAACCATGAATAATTATGATTGGGAATCAATTCTCAATAATTGGCCGGCTAATGCTTCCTTGCTTATTATTGGTCAACTATTAATAAAGTATTATAAAACTCAAGAAACCAATAAAACGAGCTAGTGTGTGTTTCTAGGGTTGGAAATTGTTACTGCATGTCCAGTTGTCAATGAGCTTAATTAGTTCAATACAGCATGGGATTTTGGTCGAACTTGGTCAGCGGTTTGCTTGAAGTAGATACAGAGTTAGGAACGTAGAATTGCACCTATGCTACGGCGCCCTAGGGCATAGCTAGGTGTCCGACCAAAAGGGGCAACTTGCAAGTTGTAATAAGTTTACCAAATTGCAGTTCAAACGATCAAGTCACAAATAAGAATTAATTTGTGAAAAGGAGTAGATCCATCGACAGTTAAAAAATTACCAGAATAATAAAAAAAGATTTGTATAATTACATAATAATAGTTCAACGCATATCACTTACAACAAAACGTACTGATTTTATTTTTAATATGTCAATATGCTGTTCATCTAGTTTCGAAGATGGTTCTTGATATATTTGATGGGGTAATGTCTATTTTTTATTCAAACCTTTTTCAGAATCTTTTATATTATCCAAACCTATCGAAATACTAAATATTAGCCAAATGTTAACTTCTAGTTAGCAATTTTGTTAGTAATATTCACTTGGCAACATGATACTGACTTGGATGAGACTCATGAAGGTCAACATTCCAAAAATTTTTTTTTAGTATTTTAACTAAGAAAAGAGTTACAATATTATTAACGATTACGTAAAAATGGCTAATATTTTGATACATTATGAAAGATTTGGATAATTAATAGAATTTTAATAGGTTTGGATAATATACAAGAATCTGAAAAAAGGTTTGGATAAAAAATAGACATTACCCTATTTGATGGAGGAAGTGATTGTGACCGTAGGATTGGGTGAATCTTAGCCATGCATTTGAGGGGTGGATGTTATCTAAGCGTTGAGTAATACAACTCTAACGAGAGTCCATTCAATTCTTGTGAGTTGAGGGAGTGTGAGTGAGTGCTTATTTAGCTCTCTAATGTGACTTGAGTGCTAAGGCCGCGCAAAAAGAGTTTAGTCCATGATGGAACTCACAGGGGTGGAAAATAAACAACTCCTTCAGCTTCTCCTTGTCAAAAGCGATAATTGAATATTTTTGTGGATGGTTTAAGCCATAGATCATAACAACAACTGAGAATTGACTCGTCAAAACCATGGAGGTTTGGCGAACCGACTGCCGAAAATGGAAAAGCGTGGAGGAGAAGGGGCAAACCCTCGACATCAGAGGCGAAGGGAGAGGGTTAGACTGTGGGCAAACCCTCGACATCAGAGGTGAAGGAGAGGGTTAGACTCGGGAGAAAAATGTAAATTTAGTACAATAATTAATTAGATATGAAAAACAACACGTATTTAAATGAGAAGGTTAACCTTTAAAATATAATTTGATCTATGATTTATAAGTTGCATACTGGCATATTCAATATTTTTATGACGAACTATGTACAAATACTAATGGTACATATGATCCGCCCAAAATTAAAGATGTACTTATTCTATATCTACAACAAATTTTCACCAAATCATAGCTCATTTGTTAAATAATTTTATTTCACTCAGTGATAGGGAGATTGTAACGGGTGACTCATAAGGACGAAAATGAGTAAATTTGTATAATAGTTAATTGAGAATGAAATTTAGAGCACTTCTAATCGAGAATGGTTGACCGAGAAATCATGTGTTCGAATCTTGGCGACCCCATTTGTTAAATTCGTGATATTCGAATTTGCAAAAACTTTAAACCCATATAAGTTGGTTTCAGCGGGGAAGTGTTAGTAAATAAGATTCATTATTAAATCTTTTTCCAACAACTCGAATTATTGATACTAAACGGTCTTAACAAAGACACCATTCAAAAGCAAGTGTCTAACTAAATCAAGAATAATTGTTTGATATCTATAGAATGATATTCTTGATAGTTTCGACATATATTATCGTATGATTTTTTTTTTTTTCCAAAATGGACCCACTCTCGACAAAATCCTGACTACGCACTGCTCATGTGTTAGGGTTCTTACTAAATGTTTAATTTAATAGTTTAAATAAAATTGTATGCGTGGTAATCGACAGTCACCTCTTTATGCGATTAGTCGTGATATCGATTATCACTATTGTCAACTGTAGATGGTATGGTAATAGACAAAATGATCCATTCATTATCAAACTTGTACAATGATTTGAAACTAGAAAACTGTGGAACCATCACAACAACAATAGAATAAGGGGATAATGCATGTCAACTCAACGATGATATCTCATTGGTCGCGGGAGAGATTAAATTATAAAATCAGAAGAAATCTCGCCTAACCAGATTATTTGTTTATAGAACACGTAATCAGAGTGACAATCCCAGTTGTCATTTTTTACTAATTAAATTAAAACTCAAACACACGTGCCCAATTGGATGGTTCGAAGAACAACCGTTTAAACCCTGTCGTTTTGGCCACCTAAACTTCCTCTTCCTTTTTTTGTTATTTCCCACCTTGACGAAAAATTGTGACCTGGAAAACGAAACGCCGACGGCAATTTAGTAAACATTTCTTGAAATTGAAGCAAGAATCAATAGCACACTGGGACCTTTACAAATGTTTTGTTAACCTACTCAATTATGTATGTGTTTAACAGGTCATGAATGATTGGGTTTAATTAATTACAATTTTTTTTATCTAACTAAATCACATAGATTAAGTAACACATTGATGGTTTATGAATTAAATATGATGACTTGATCAGTATTAGTAAATGGTAATCAACAACCCCTTAGTACTAACTCTGAGGATTTAGTGAAGAAATATTTTTCAGACAGGGTTGAAAGTATGCAGCCTCTTACTAATCACCACACTGTTTCAACCACTCAGTGAAAATTAATTAAGTTGAGTATAAAGACAACTAATAACAATTATGTACATCTTCTAGAAATCATATATGGTCTGAATCTTTTGTTTTCGTATAATAAAATGAAAATCTTAACATCATTTTCATTTGAAAGTTAATAACTTTCTACCATTGTATGGAATAAAGTTTATGTATTAACTCTTCAATTTTTGCATTCTCTTGAAGGTCATTCTCAATCGTCTTCATTAAGGCTTTCTTGTGTCAATTTAGAATACTAATAGAAATAAGAATCAATATTTTTGCCTCAATGTATGTATATATACATGAAGATATTGACTAATAACTAGCTCATGTATTAATTAACATACTTAAACTCATCATCACATCAATAATTAATCACACAATACGCAGGTTCAACCTATAATATATATTTGGGTAACTAACAGACCTATGATGGAGGCTCCCTAATATATAGAGGTCTTGTACTCGAGGATCTCATAGCACACCCTAACGACTCCTCATGTTAAGGAGAACCTCTCATTAATAATGTTAGGATAGTAATTGTCATTTATGTAACACTTATCGAATATGAGCACTTTTACTATGCTATATAGTATTGGTGCTTTAATGTACAACTTAAAGTTGTACCATAACATTAAATGTATAAGTTTAGGTTGTACCATAAAACAATTTGTATTATTATGTTATGGTACAACTTTACAACTTGAAGTTGTACCATCATATAAAGGTACAAGTTCAAGTTGTACCATAAAAGAGTTTGTACAAAAAGTATAGGTACAATCTGAAGTTGTACCATAACGTAAATGTATAATTTTAAGTTGTACCATAAATGCAAAACCCTATAACACCAATACTATATAGCATTGTAAAATTTCTCATTGAATATATAGAGTTATTTTCATAGTCTTGCAGAACATATAGCATCCACATGTGTGAATGTAAGCGAAGTTAAGGTTCGAGCTAAGTGGATTCATTATTTTTTGTCAAGTAATTTTATTCCCCTCTGTTTACTTAAGGTTAATGGAATAATTCTTTCTAATATTGAACTAATCAGTATAACAGTACTGCAAGCGCCAGAAAAACGTCAAACTCAAACGAACGGAATGAATCACATGACACAACATTTGTGTTATGGAAGAAAGGAGAATGTAGGAAGCTTGAAGCGATTTTTTTCGTGCAGAAAATAAGTAGAAACAAAACGTAACCGTGAGAAAATGATGAATTTATAGTGAATGAAAGGGTGCAACCATACCCGCTTACAAATATTTATATCCATACCCGTCCCATACCCATGCGGGGAAGGTTTTGTAAACCCATTCCCATACCCATGGGTTTCGGGTACCCATGGGTAATACCCGCCCCGTACATCCAGCATTATAATATCGAATATTTACATGTAGATTTTCAATTATAACATTAAACGCACCTACTATATCATGAAGCCGACAAAGAGACAATCATTTTTAATACGATTCAAAACATTTTATCCTAAAGCATCCATTAATCCATATCACAGTATAGTACAATGTCATCCAAATCATTATTCTCTACACTAATACATCAATTAAGTAATAATTAATTAACATAATTTTGTTAAAAGGGGAAAAAGTGAAAGAGTTGAGGGAAAACTGAGAGAAAGAAGTTAGATTTTGATTTGGGTGGTCACTCAATTGCATTTCTACTATATATTTTTCTTGAGTTATACTCACTATTATTGATAGGTTGCAAATTGATTCACATATTTTTCATATATGAAGAAATATTTTTGGTGGGGCGGGAGAGGTTAAAACCATACCTACCCCATACCCATCAAACTTTTTGCGGGTTTTACCCATACCCGATCAATGCGTGGATTACCCGCGTTGACTGGGTCGGAGGCGGTCGGATACCCGTGGGCATGGGTATGATTGCCATCCCTAGGTGCAACATGTAAAGTTGCACCAGTGGTAGTTGAACCAACCGAAAAGGTGTAAAGAATGAAGGAACACAATCTAGAAAGCCGTATTGGTGGTAGTTGGATCAGTAGAATAGGTTAAAATCTAAAGTGTTACAATGGTTCGAGTTTGCTAATGCTTGATGAACCGACAGAACAAGTGCAAAGTCTAGTTGTTTCGATGCTAAATTCATACTAATACAGTCAGTTACCAAAACCTTAAATTGAACTCGATGCCAGAACAGAGAGAGCAACGACGACGACGACACAAGAGCCCAACTTCTTTTTATCTTTTACTAGCCATAACAGTTTACCTCACATAGTCACTTACATACCCACTTTCACTAATATTGTACAATTTTTTGCTGTCCTTCCTTTCATTTCATCAAACCAAATTCCAACAATAATTTAAGATGCAACTTTACTTATAATTAGTTTTTAAATGCAACTGCTTGTGTATGCACATAGAGATTAACAAATTTAACAAGCCCAAACGGCTGAAATATTGAATTGTGAAGAACTTATTGACTTTGCAATATAATGGCGATATATATAAGCCGACCAGCAAGCTCATCTATATTGACGAGCGAGGTGCCAATGGGCCAAACAAAATTGGGAGCCGGACTAGAGTAGGTTGGGTTGCCTTTAAGAATTTGTTTCGGAATGGAATTTGTCTTTAGGCTAAAATTAAAAATATCTTTGGCTAATGGAATTATAATAATTATTGAAGACAGTTAAATCTTAGTTGTGATTATTCCTGTGGATAGTCAAAGATGCTTGTTGATCAATCCCAAATACACACAAAAAATGGTGAATTCTCGATCAGGATCATTCAAGCAGCAGAAAGGGCAAGTGAATGGGAATATGGTATATGATTGTTTTTGTTTTTAGTGATTAGAAGGTGTCCATTATTATGGTATTGTTGGTTTGATTTAAGCTTGCACGAATTATTTTCAATTGATTGTAATTATTTTTTTATAGTATTCTCTCTCACTTCTCTCTTCTTTCTCTCTCTTGTTCTAGCAATTCTGATCGCAATCCGGCGGATATGGCCGCTGCAGCCGTTGAAGGGGCGCCGAACGTTTCATGTGAGGAGGAGGGTAGTCGTCTACGTTTCATTCAACTGGAGGTGACCGATGGTGCTCTTCTCCTACCTCGGGTGTTGAGGGATGTTGGGGCGACGGTGGAGAGAATCCCTAGTTGGGCAGTTTCTGTCCGAGCTGCCGTCGATCCAGATGATTCAGATATGGGCAAATCGTTTGTGGGGGCGCGAGGGAAAAATTCATGTATCTAGATTTTGGGATTCCATGTTCCTCTTTCGGTTTCCTGATTTTGCACCGAGTACCTGGGCTTTTGAGGGAGGGCCATGGCACTGTCAACATGTGCCCTTGTTCCTGTGTCGCTGGACGCCTGGGATTCAGCCTCTGGATATTCAGCTATCATCGTTGCCAATATGGGTTAAGATTCGGGGGATTCCACTAGAGTACCACACAGTTGATGGTTTTAGCCGAATTGCTAGTGTTCTGGGGGTTCCACTCTGGATGGATCAGACAACGAAGCTGGGTACAAACATAGGTACTGCTAAACTCCGTGTTGATCTGGGGTTGATTATGGGTTCAGGGAGGAAATTTTGGTTCAGCCGGAGGGTGATGTGGCCTTCTCTCTTCGAGTTGAGTATTTGAGACTCCCTCCGCGCTGTCTTCATTGTCATATCTATGGCCATGAGGAGGGTCAAGGGAATGAATGAAGGTTGAGGTGGAGGGTTCTTGGAGGCATAAAGAATTTCAGAAGGAGGTAGTCCAGGAGGCGACCCAACAGCTTCCTCCGGTGATTACGTCGACCTCCTCTCTCACTACAATCCTTACTAATGGCGTTTCTTCTCTAGGAGGATTCCACCTAGTCCCTAAAGGGTTACAGCTGTGCTCCTGTGTTGATTCAACAAGTGGTACCAAGGTGGTTGAACCTAGGATCTGGCACTGTGATGGGGATGTTGAGCTTGATAAGGTCGTGGCTAGTATTGAAGAGTCTGGTAGTAGTAAGTTGGGTAACAAGTCTGGTGCTGCCAAAGTCCCTGCACCCTCTAAGAAGGGGAGGGGGAGAGATAAGCATTGATGATTCTATTATCTTATAATATTAGGGGCTTTAACACCCCTGAAAAACAACGGTATGTATATAGTATATTAAATAAGTTTAAGTTAGATTTTGTTGCTATTTTAGAAACGAGAGTTACTTTGAAGAATTCTGTGGCTATAGTGAAAGGGCAGTTTGGTAGGTGGGATGGCAAGTCCAAGTCTGGTAGGGTCTGGTTATTCTGGAGGAATGGGTTGAAAGTTACTCAGTTGGATTCTGGTGAACATCTTCTTCCTGTGAAAGTGAATAGTGGCTTAGAGGAGATAATTGTTACTGCAGTTTATAGTCCCAACCAGACTTCTCAATGCCAGCTGCTTTATGGAGAGCTATCTAGGTGCAAATGTTAGGCTATCCCTGGATAGTTTTGGGAGACTTTAATGCTATTGCTGAACTTAATGAGGCGTCTAATTCAGTGGTTGTCACTCACAGTTTGTTGGACTTTAGAGCATGGATTGAGGATATGCAACTGATTTATCATAAAGTTGTTGGGTCATGGTTCACTTGGTGGAATAAGCAAAAGCACAACTCTATTTCCAAGAGAATCGACATAGTATTGGTTAATGACTTGTGGTTTGATATCTGCAATTCTAGTTCTGCTTGTACCATCAGCCCCAAGGTGTTTGACCATTGTGGTCTCCTTGTTACTACAACAAAGGTACTAAAAAGTCTTCCCAAACCCTTCAAATATTTCAAGTTTTGGAGATCACATCCGTAGTATCAGGACATTCTCAAGGAAGCTTGGGATGCCACTGTTAGACCTCATCCATTTCATTATATAATCCGGAAAATGAAGCATTTTAAGAAAGGGCTTGCTGTCTTGAATAGGACTAAGTACTCTGACATCTCTAGTAGGGCTTGTGAGGCTGAGGGTCAGTTAGTAGAAGCATAGTCTGTCGTTTTTTATTCACCTACTCCCGAAAATGTTGCAAATGAGAAGGATCTTGTGTTAACTTGTTCTGAGTTGCATGCTGCTGAAGAATCTTTTTATAGGCAGAAATCAAGGGTGGGGTGGATCAATGAAGGGGATGCTAATACTGGTTTCTTCCACAACTATGTGAAGATTAGGAATAAGCTGCTCACTATTGATCATCTTCTTAATGATGAAGGGCAGTTTGTTTATGATATTAAGGAGATGGGTCAGCTTGCGGTGGACTTTTATAAGAAGCTTCTTGGGGAAAGTAATCCTGATGTAATGGACTTGCCAGTTAGTTACTTTGAATGGTTCTTCGTTCAAATCTCTCACCTGCTGATGTGGCTTGTGTGCTAAGACCTGTTACAAGAGAGGAAATTCGTTCGATTTTCTTTGCTATGATGTCGGACAAGGCACCTGGGCCTGATGGCTACCCAGCTGATTTCTGTAAAACTGATTGGGAAGTCATTGGTCCTGACATTGAGCCATCTATTCTTTCCTTTTTCAAACTGGTTTGCTCTACCCTGAGGTAAACTCCACTATCATTTCCTTGATTCCTAAGCTTTCGAATGTTGAGAGGATGAAAGACTTTAGGCCTATAGCGTGTTGTAATGCTCTTTATAAAGAAATTTTTAAGCTTCTTGCGAACATAATGGCTTTAGTTCTGCCTCATGTGATTAGCCCTGCTCAATTTGCTTTTGTCAAAGGAAGGCTAATTAGAAATGGTATATTAATGACTTTGAATTAGTTAAAGACTACCACAAGAAATCAATCACTCCTAGATGCGTAGTGAAAATAGACTTGATGAAGGCCTTTGATTCGGTCAACTGGCGGTTTTTGTTTCGAGTTATGAGTGCCATGGGGTTCCTAGATTGTTTTGTTGATATGGTTCGAACTTGCATTACCTCTCCGAGCTTCAGAGTTGCATTTAATGGGGGGCTTTGTGGGTTTTTTTAAAACGGGAAAGGGTCTTAGGCAAGGGGATCCACTCTCCCCTTACCTTTTCACCATATCCATGGAATTTTAATGATGTTTGTTACACAAAGCTGCTGGTGAGAATCAGATACTCTGTCATCCTAGGTGTAAGAAGTTAGAGATTATGCATCTGTGCTTAGCAGATGATTTGCTTGTTTTCTCAAATGGCTCTGTGCGAGGGGTAGCAGGTATTACGCGTTTGTTGGATGCTCTCTATCTGGTATCAAGTCTTAAGTGTAACCTTGAGAAAAGTCAGCTTTTCTGTGCGGGTATTTCAGAGGCAGAGCAACAATTTATATCAAGCAGTACTGGTTTTCCTCTCTCCAGCCTACCTGTGCGTTATCTGGGGGTTACCTTGCTATCAGGTAAGCTCAGAAGGGCTGATTGTAAGGTGTTGCTTGATAGAATCACCTCTCGTATTAGAGGTTGGCCATTGAAGAAGCTCAGTTATGCGGGCCAGATTCAGCTTTTTTCGTCAGTTGTTTCTAGTGTCCTTCAATTCTGGATGAACATATTTGTATTGCCAACTGGTGTCCTTAAGGATATTGAGAAAATATGTAATGATTTCTTGTCGGGAGTGGGTGTTGATGGGAGCAGATCTAAGGCTCTTGCGCAATGGTCTTTTGCTATCATGTTGAAGTCTAAGGGGGTTTGGTATAAAGAATTTTCGTGTCTGGAATAAGGCTTGTGTTATTAGGTACTTGTGGTTGGTTCTTGCTTCAAGTGGCTCTATTTGGGTAGCATGGGTCCAAATGTACATACTCAAGGCCAAGACTGTACCAGAAGTTTCTACTACCTTAGTGGGGTCTTGGGTTTGGAAGCGAACTTTGAAACTTCGAGACACTGTTGGCAGATTTATCACAGGTGGGACGGTTGTGCTATAACTCGTTATTCTGTTAAGCGAGTTTGGCTAAGTATCCGTACTCCATCGACTCAAGTGAGCTGGTCAGATTTTGTTTGGGGTGAGCCTATTATCCCCAAGTATAGCGTTCTATCATGGATCACAATTCAGAACAGAGTCTCTACTGCTGACAAGCTTATGTCATGGGGGATGTCGGTTTTTGCTGTGTGTGTGTTATGCCCAGGTGGCTTGGAGAGCAGAAGCCATCTCTTTGGTACCTGTTCCTACTTTGAGTGTGTGATGCAGGTCCTTTTTGCTGCTGTGTCGCTTCCTATTTTTAGCTATTGGGAAGACACATTGTCCTGTGCATTAGAGCGTTGGAAGGATAAAGGTGATGCAGCTAGAGTTGGTTGTTTACTGTGGCGTTTGGCCATCAGAAATGTTTGGAAGGAACGATGCAGAAGATGGTATGGGGATAGTCCTGCTGTTTCCCCACTCCATCTAAAATGCCGGATCCGCTCTGAAGTGGATTGCTTAGTAAATAAGTTCTCTACACTTGGACCTGTTTTTTATAGGTTTTTTATTAGTCTCTATAGGTTATGAATGTATAACTAAGTATTATTGAGAGGATCCTGGTTTGAGGGGTTCCTGGTGCTTAATGCAATTTGGAATTCATCCAAAAAAAAACGTTGCACGAATTTATTTTAAGCACCTTCTAAAAAAATCTCCTATATACAGTTAGTTTAAGCTTGCATGATTTTTTTGACATCTTTCAAATAGTTTGAATTGTATGTGGAGATCAATTAGTTTTCAACATGATGTTAAAATTTTTTTTATATATTGTAAACTTGTCTGTCCGAATACTAATATTATTTTAGTTAATTATCAATTTAAATTCACGTACAACAAATCTATGTAAATTTTGAAGTCGAGCGCTATTGTCCAAATAACACAATATATGATATAATACTTTCTAGGTTATTTATTTATTTATTTATTTATTTCCTGACGTTCTCTACCAAAAAAATTTACCTCTTATGAGTTCAAACACCTCCACCGCCTCTATGAAGTCCATTAGATCGTTGTGTCTTATAACGTTGTTCCTTTAGCCAATACAGGGTCTAGACAGAGTACCCATGACCATATTGTGGAGAGCATAACGAAAAAAGGTACAACTTCAAATTATACTATAAAGACAAAAATTACAACACCAATACTTTAAAATATTGTAAAATTTCTCATTTTTGCAACCCACAAATTCATATCGTCGACTTCATGCTTAAGGTTCTCCGTCGATCCAAGCTTCCGTATCGATCGACGGTCTAGACCCTATGGGTTTCGATGCGTACACTTGACCTTAGCTTGTCAAGTCTAGTTATTAGGATCACCAACCCCAACACAGTTAATAAGGTTCTTGTACGTTATAAAAATATCTCGATATTTAACTAGCACAACATGGTCTGCTAACATCCAAGTAACCTTAAGAACCCAAATGTTTGTGATTAATTAAAAGGGCTGTTTTTATATAAAAGAATATGTTATTTTATAATGGCCTTATAAAAAAATTTGTTCCTGTAATTGTCAGCGATACTTGGCCGCCCTTACTTTGTTGTGAGAGAGATACTCAAAGGTAGCCGCCCATTCAATAGAAAGTTGCTATGTGTTAAGAGGTGCTGACGATAGCATCAAGCCTCTCGCTTACTCAAACACTGATGTCAAGCAATTTTCTTATTTAAATTTCTTATTTAAATTAACAAATGAAAAAAGTGAACAAAAATTCTAGTAGTGAATCAGCTAAAATGTTATGGAAGTTAAGTGTATGTTAGTAAATGGTATCTGATTCGTAATTGAATCTCTTTCAACAATTCGAGCTATTGGGTTCAATTGGTTTTTGACATGGTATAAGAGTCTTTTCTGATGGAGAGGTCCTCTGTTTGAATTCCAATGATCCTAATATATTTTGTTAAGCACATGTTGTTCCGACCTATGCAAACTTGAAGCTCATATATGGTGATTTTCGTTTGAAGGAGGTGTGTTAGTAATAAATGGCCTATGATTCGTAATTGAACCTCTACGACCAACTCAAATTATTGGGATCAACGGGTTCTTGAAAGTCTGATCGACGGTAGTCGAGGCAACACAAGAATATATTATCTGATGAGTTGTATTTAAACTCTTGTTATATGTGTTCTATTTATTTCTGACTTCTTTTATACCACGGCTTCTATTTTGAAGAATAATAGCGTCTTATTTATGTTTAAATGATGTAAGATTTTTGCAAAACAATATGAACTAATCATCAACTCTTTGATGGTGGTGTGTGATGGATGATGATGTCAGGCTGGAT